GTTTGCTGCGTTCTCATTAGATGCCGTCCGTACGCGCGGTGCCACAGGGTGGATGCTGGACTATCGGAGAATTCTGATTTGGCAAACCATGTTATACTATGTGCTGAGCCAATCAGCTCAGCAAGTGCTAAGGTTGCTGGTCTGTGGTACGCATGGACGGTTGTGGCGGACAGGCGGACACGGGAGTAGAAGTACTCAGTAGAACATGGGAAGGAAGCTCTCGGAAACATTGGCAAGGGGCCGAGCCTTGGTTGTTCGACAGAGCTAATTTTGGACTCCGGATTAAAAGTATGTTCGTAACACCGAATTACAGTACGGTACTGGGCGGAACATTTTCCGTAATATATATCGTAACAGAAATTCCAGCTCGGTGGCATGAAGTACCCTAGGCTTAATTTCAGAGGCAAGTTTTGAGCAACATAACACATAAACCATCCATTACATTGGTATAAATCGATACTAGCAGTTTGGGATTACCATAGAAATCAAAAGTTATACGTGCTAGATATATAATAACGGTGGAGTAGGCAGTAAATAAAGTTCGGTGGTGTATTTTTCGTTCTCGCAGGCCCTCGTTCACGAAGTCACACTAGACCAACACCCAATATTTTCAATTTAGAACTGAACAATATTAAATTCAAGAGACAGAGAATAACTTAGGCAGCCCTTATTTACGATGATACTATTTGTCGGGATATATCCTCCCGTCAGAATAAGCAAAGACAGGTTGTACGTAATCGTGCTAAGCAGCGGCTCCCGCCGTCTGAGGTTCAGGGGCATTGGAGATGGAGAACACACATCTATCTACATTTTTGAATCAATTGACTTTTTGCTTTACGGCATAACACTGTCCACTTAACTGTGTACACAGTACCTAGCTGGTGATACCAACACTATTGTTCGATAGTTTTATCTTCAACCACGTTGAAGGTATCTTTGTCAAATTTCGGCACACCGCCTTATTTCGTCACCTCATATGCACGTTACTAAAAATCGAACATAACCTGCTTTTATTGGTGACCTCACGCAGTCAAGGGGAGCAAGAAGAGTGTAGTTTGGCCATAACGGGTCACCTGTCGCTGCGGTCGTAGACCGTAGCGTCAGATTGGGCCCGTCCGCGCTCCCCTGAAGGGAGGCAATGTGTCTGTATTGTAGTGGATTCTATGTACAGAGGGAAGGTGGGAGGGACAAAATCAAGACTTGACTGCGTGAAAGATGACGAGCTACCCGCAGAGGCAAGCAACTGACTCTCGTGAGGCAGTTGTAGGAGGAGGAGGAGGCCCTCCGTAATGTCGGTGTAGATATCACGTGGGGCTACATTGTGAGGCAACCCCAATAAAACCACTCCCTCTAGTTGTTGATACACCTTGACCTGAAAAATCGCATTTAGTATGGTTAACCAGGTTATCAGGTTAACCGGGAGTTACGTTACAGTGCGTGCACAGTGAACTCGACACACAGAAAAATCACCGTCTAGGCAATGTGGATCGAGAACGGTCTCACCACTTAGCAGAACTTCGATCAATCAGTGCACGTTACGCAAATATGCTAAAGCTTGCAATACTAGCACACGGACCATTCTACAACCGCCTCCAAGTGCCGCGGGGAAATGTGCTCGGACGTTTACGTTATATGTATTTCCGTGGACAACCAGTCGCTCAAATCTCTATTTCAGAGAGACATCAATGCCGAAGATTCGGCACATCCTCCAGACTCAATACCTGCTATGCCTGCGTTCTGGCAGGAGAAAAGGATGATAAAGGCGCGATATTTTCCGGGCCTTTGGACGTCTGTGATGGCGTTGCCTCTCATGAGGATCAAATTTTGATCATGATCTTGACCAACGAATCTTGTCAAGCCATTAGACGCAATCTTATTCGGCTAGAACATGTCGCCAGAACATGTCGCCAGAACGTTCCGGTTCTAGCTCATCTATGAGGACGTTGAAACGCAGGTCTTCCATTATACTCTAGACAAGCAAGTGTGCCCAGGTAAGACTGCCCGGGTCTACCTAGACTGAGAGTTGAGGGCAGACCAAGGAGTTTGCTCGGAAGATTACCCAAGAAAGTACAGCTAAGCTTACGTGATTTTCTATCTTCTCCAGCATAGACGTACCTGAAGTTGCACTAGATAATCTCGTGAACTGCTTGGAAAGTACCGATGTCTCCCATTCGGAGACTCAGTATCAGCACGGAGGTTTCCGCTATAGCATCGGGCAAGCCCAACGCCAACTGGGATGGTGCAGTACAGTAGAGAGCCATACGGTCAAACTTCAAAACTAAATTAGATTCCGCATGTTCTCTAAAGATAGCAGAAGACAGACGAAGTGAGAGTGAGAACACAGTCCGGGCGCCTGGAGAAGCCGACCTAATAATACCTAATAATACGACATGACTACGTGTGGATGTTCGCAGGATCTTTGACATGGCGCTATGCATGTTTGTCTTCGATGGCCGTTCAACAAGCTGACTGGAGTCTTTTTTCTTATTTCTTTTTTTCTTTTTTTGGATGGCACAGGGTACGAGGGAAGAGATACTGTCTCGTCTTCCCAAAATAGAAGTCATTGTGCCGTGATGCTATTCTTGCTCCAGAGCTCTAAATAGGTTCGCTCCATTTCACATACCTGATCGGCCCAAGATGATGTATATAGTCTGTTTGGGCCAAGTCTGTTGGAATGGCGTGTTTTGGAAATGGAAATGGGACTGAAAAAAAGAAAGGGAAAGAAAGAGGGCCCTACCCCAATTATACGGATTTCGGATCCTCAGAAAAGGAAAACTACGTATCTCAAACGCCGCCAGGGTGTCATGAAAAAAATACACGAGTTAGGAGTTCTTTGCAATCAGGATACCTTTTTCTTTATCCGAGATCGTGCAACGAGAAGAGTTCAAATGTTCTCGTCCTCTCAAGAGGAGTTTATACCCGATTACGCAGCAATAAAGCCGGAGGACCGACAAGGCCCGGGTAATATGCAGCGCTACTATACCAAGGGCAAAGAGAAAAACTCGCCAAAGGCCAACACGCCCTCTCCTCCGCAACTCCACGACGAGTACCGGTCGCATCAGGACATTCTCAGGGCCTTGCTTCAGCAGGGTCTCAGATGTCAAAGAGTGTTACAGAGCGTCACATCACTACAGTGTACGCTACGTACAATGACAGGCCCGAATTTACTTTGTAATAAATGAGCACGATTCTGTTGATAGATCTGATCGTCACGATGGCTCTACCATCCTTTCCTACAATACCAAGGTCAGTAGCCGAGATGTTTAGCGTGTCTTGTATCTTTATTCTGAATCCAGCTTCTCAAATCCCATTCTAGCCCCTTGAGCCCAAAGCCTTCCGAGCCTGATTAGCTATCCCTGGTATGAGCACAGAGTACGTAACGAATACGGAGTATATGAGGTGCCGAAATAAGGCGGTGTGCCGAAACGTCAGATATATACCTTTATCGCAGTTGCAGGTAGATTCATCAAATGATTCTATTGTCGTATATTAATAGATCACGGGTAATTATCTCCCTCTCTAACTCAATGATATATACTTCAACGTCAATAATACAGCAGGTTGGTCTGAGGTGACTGCGCGAACAACCGTCAACCGGGATAGAAGATAACACAGCGGTACTAGAATATTTTCCTCGCTCAAGTGCCACAGGGACCCAGAATGTCTAATTTTGAAATTACGCATAATTCCAGATCTATGTTATTAAATAAATTACAGTACTAAGATAGGTGTGTTTTTACAATATTGCATGAGGACTCTGTCTCTGAAGTTCGGTCTTGGGGACTTCATGGGACAGCACTCGTACACCAATGTTACTACCAATTGTCAGGGGATCTTACGATCAATCCTGGATTGCAATTCGGTGTTACGGAAATGAGCCACACTAAAACACATAACGTAATTCACGGCCGACCGGCACACCTCAAAACACAGTAAATGTGATAAATTAAAAACAAAAATATTGAAAATGTCATTAATTTAATTTAATTTGATTTGATTTATCTATCCTACAGAAGTCGGTTTTTTATATTAATTTTAAAAACTTACTATTACCACTTTATATCTCAACAACCATAACTATTTGAGTGAAGATACTAATTGTATATAATCCAAAATACATAGTTAACCTACTGACGAAGTATAGGGAAAGTACTCGAAGTGATAGGAGAGATATATATATTCATGTCCCCCACTTCAAAAATACGGCGTATTTTATGATAAAGTATCTAAATTATCATCTAAATTGCCTAAAGCTACAGTATGTTATTTCAAATGCCAAGTAAAGCCTACATACTTATATTTAAGTGAAAGTTTAGTATGATTGTTGAGATCTAAAGCGGTACTATATCACATTTATTATGTGTTTTGGGGTGTGCCGCTGGACTGTGTGTGCTGGTCGGCTGTGAATTACGTTAGTAAAAGCGATGAATTACTACTCAACAACCATATGTCACTTTTACTTGAATATTAGGACATAGGCTTTCCTTGGCATGTGAAATGATTTACCTTACCTTTATGTAATTTAGATGATTATTTCCATGCCTTACCCCAAATACGCGGTAAATTGACCTGCGGGATGTGAATATATACATTGGAATCATGAACGGGCTGACGGGATCGAGTCCGTCCTGCCGATTGAGTTTTCCTGCAGACGACGGGCCATATATCTTGAATCTGCGGCAAGAGCTTGACAATCCATGTAGGTGACCGCTGGAGGGAGGAATAGATATCGCTGAGGTACAAGTTCTGGGGTGCGAATCAATGGCGGAATCGCATAGGATTCATGTTGGAACGCTCGGCCGTATTGTACGAGCTATGCCCACGAGAAGCAGATAGGACCAATGACTTGCATCCCAGAGTATCTTAAGTCCACTATCTGTGCTACAAGTCCGGCCATCTTTTCTAGTCTAACAGCGGATGTGGTTTGCTAGTCAACCGAGAAATCTTCGAAGAATTGAGATTCTGAGACAATATTTCATGTGGGAGAGTTGTACGTGCCGCTAGCAGCGGGGGACAATGAAGAGCGCAGAGGCACTGGCACAGAGCAGCCTCTCACCCAACTGGTCGTCGACCTGAATTGATCCCTCCATAAAAATTTTGCGACCTTCGATTTTCACAGGCCACACGTGGAGAATTAGTCTAGAATTGGGTTGGATTGGACGCTTAAAGTCCACTGACAAATTGGCCGTGACGGCAGGCTTGCAGCAGTCTGCAAACAACTGGTCCAAAAGGAATGCCTGGTAACCACCGTGGATTTTGCCCGGGTAAAAGCAAATTCGTTGCCTTGGCTCGAGAGCCATCAAAGCTGTCGCCTGCTGGCCAAGCTCGCACCTCTGCAACTCCGGTCGGTATCCATGCAGCAGGTTATGATGGAGGGAGTTTGTATAGGGGAGTTTTTCGAGATCCGAGACGAAAGGCGAACCGTTCAGACCTGGCTTCAAGCTTGAAATATCAGCGCTAGTGATACATCACTCGATCCCACAAGTTCTCGCAAACGTGAGCATACCACAGTTTGAGGTACCCCAAAGCTACTCTCGGAGAGCTTGGGCATGCGAGAACTGGCCCTGGCCAGATTGAGCCAGCGGTGGCCGGTCCGTACCATAAAATTGAAGATGTAGGCCAGGGGCGCGTGGGGGGAGCGATTTCAGTGCCATTATTCTCATGGGTAGGAAGGCCGGATATTTGCATATGTTCGAAAGGCAACTGCTATGCAGGGAGCAGGTCTAGGATCCATTGGTTTTAAATGTCTGCTGCCCGTATGTTGCGCAACCAGAACACAATATTTGATGAACATAATGATATACAGGCAGGCTTTGACATCGGCCCACCGTCTGTGCCAGCGCTTATCTGACCCGGGTTTGTTGCATAACCTCCAGGAGAAAAGCAGTTGGCCGTAGCGTATAACGCCATGTATAACGCCGGTCTCGTATGAATGTCCCTCTTCGCTTCATTTTCAGATACGCAGAAAAAGATTCAATCACGAGATCAATCCTACTAGTCCTGAGCCTACGAGCTCCTAGGTAAAATCAGAAGCGTAGGGGCCTGCTGTGACCCAAGTGGGCGACTATTTTTCCTTTACTCTTCATGGTCAGTCTCCCTTTGCTGGATGGACTTACGGAATATTGACGTGATGTCATCCACCGCTGTCTTTAGATGGATTTCAAGCCGGTCCACGCCTTGCCGAATAGCCCGCTAGCATACGACAGCACGTCTTCGTTCAAGCAATGAGCCACAAGCTTATGATTCAACCTGGTCCGGGAATCATAGCCAGCTGGCTTCATTTTTTCACCTCACGTTTGGTGCAGAACAAAATGCGCGAACTCTCTCCTAAAAAAGCTTGCTAGCTCCTCAGGTTGGAAAATACATCAAGCTTTAGGAGACAGAGGTTGTCCCTCTTGGATGTCACGTACAGATGGCAGTGAATCAATGTCGCAGAGACGGACGGTTCAGACAGCAGCGAGAGATTGAGCGTTCCTTTTTGCTGATGGACTTGGAAGCCTGAGATCAATGGTATGACTTCCCAGGATAAGGCTTGATTTACGTTTCTTTGATGGTATACTTTACCGAATCGTTTAAATGGAAAGTTAGTTAAGTTACTGCACTAGAGCCTGGTGAAGGAGATCAAATCAGTTGGATAATCAGTTACTTTTCCTTGGCAGCACGCTATTCTCGTGAATTGAATTAGGAAGTATAAATATTGACCGGAAATCATAGGATGTAGCTTATTGAACACGCTCGAGCTCCTTCATTACTAAATACACAGCGACTCTGCTTTCGTCCCGTATGGTCTCACCTTTAACGGCAAAACAATCACACAAACGTGACTTCAGTATTGCAATATGTCAATGTAGCATGACGTCGATCTCACCACCTCTCCGATCGATTCACACGTACCAATTCCTTTCCATATTTGCACGTTAATATATGGTATCAATTCCTCTCCTGATTGGGCATAAAGTGATTGTTACTACGAACAGGGCTCGGATGCGGAAATTGGTGATGAAGCATCGCAGTGAACAAGTAGCTGATGTTTGCTCTGCCCACGCCAGATGCATGTTGTAAGAAACGATCCTTTTTCCATGTCAGGAAATCGTCGATGAACTGTTCCTAGAGGCTGCTACTTACATAAAAGTACTGTGCAACGGCCTGGTAGAACCCTTGCTCGAGGTCTGCCACCATCAGGTCGGACTGCTGCGACGCTGAGGGATATTCGACAAAGTGATAGAAGCCATTCGGGATATTCTGCATCCCTTGCATGGACTGGGATGGATTCAATGGCAGGCCATCATCCATGGATTGGTCATGGATGGACTCATGGGGATATGGAGGTGATGGCTGTTGCTGCGGGGTCTGTGAGGGCACAGAGTCCTCATCAGCAGGCTCACATCGAGCATGCCGAGAGCTTGAAGGAGTGCGTGGCAATCCAGCCCGTGGCGTTTCAAGCATTCTGAGGTATCAAAGAGTATCGAAGGTATTACAAACAAACCAATAATGCCAGATAATGCAGGATTTTATAGCTCTTTATAGAGACTGTCTGAAGCTTATATTCCGGTTCGGAAGAGGCGAAACGCTCTCAATGACACGTTCGGCTCATTAAACGGGCGCTTTAGTGGACTAGTTAGAGTTGTGCCTTGCATAAACCATTTCAAAGCCCTGAAGCTGCCTGAGCCGCAACCTCTGGTGAACACGCGCTAGATCAATTTACCGAAACAAACAACAGTATCTATGGCTTCCTCCATCGAGTTTCAAACATTTGGCTACTTTAATATGCATGGCACCGTCCGGCTTCACATGATATTCCCAGATTAAGGGGATATGCCGTTCTGACGTCAATCCCTCCGCAACTGCCTCACACCGCACCCTCTCATTCTCAGGATACTTTGGTATCTGAATCGAGAGCAATGCGGGAAATGTTTGCTGTGAAAGCAATGTAATACCATTTGACATTCTTAATCATTGATAACCGAGCGTGCCCACATACGTTCTAGTTGCCCAACAATTACGCGATATGTGCTAATACGACGTTGTGTCTACGTACCCAAACGGAGGGGGGGGTATAGATGTCGTGATGAGCGGGAGAGAAGATTTCCAAAAAACAATTTCAAATCCATAATCCGTAAAATTCCATATTCCAAAAAAGGAGGTGCAAAGTATCTTTCTGCACAGAGACGCCTGATTCGTTTTTTCCCGATGGTATGCAAAAATGTGTCGCTGAGAGTGGGAGAGAGAAAGAGCAAGAGAGGTCAAGAATGCGGGGTATAGCGGGAGACCAGACTAGACGAGTCATCCCGCTGCCCGCGAAAGAAGTGATCATTGTGGTAGCGGCAAGGTCGGTCGGAGAGGAGAGGGAGGAGAGAGATCGAGGTCATTTAAGAGGAAGTCATTCGTCGCTTGAGACCTCGGACGTGATCGAAGCAGCTGGCATAGTCCCGCAGCTCATCTTGCAGCTGGCCGGAGAGGGCGGCATTGGAGGCATGACTCCGCAGGGAAGACAATGAGGTTTGCGACGATGAGGCGGACAGACTACGTGGGGATCGGGAATCGATGGAATCAAGAGTGGACGATCGAGAGTGCGATGAGCCCTTGGATGAGGATTGCTCGTCGTCGGCCAATGTGCGATCCAACTCGGCGAGTCGGCAGGTCTGGGAGCAGTAGGGACCGCCGGAGGTCTGGCGATCACAGACGAGGCAGAAGTCGAGAGACCAGTCGGTAGACATGATGAGATAGATGGTGATGTGAGGTGATGATGGTTGATTTGAGACTGGATGGGATATAGGAAGAGGTAGATAGAGAGGATGGAAGAGTGAATGTATATCAAGGTTGAGGTTGAGTTGAGAAAAGAGACTGGATGTAAAAGGATTCTCGAGGATGATATATTTCCAAAGCAATCAAGGTTGATGAAATGTTGACGCCTTATAGGAGTAGGCAGGCGGCAATGTTATCAAGTCTGCAGAAATGACGAAGAATGGGAAGTGGATGAGGGAAAGAATAAGAAAGAATATGAATGCGAGGAGAAAGAGAGTTCCACGCCAACTAAGGAGTGCAGCAGCACGCAGGTGCAGACAGACAGTCAGGGAGACTAGAGACGAGTAGAGACTAGTACAGTAAAGAGAGCAAGTCCGATCACCTCATTAGGGGGAAAGATGGGGGGATCCACCTTGTCACAATCATGCCACACCCGGGTGAGAGCTGAGGCAAATTTAGACAAAGAAAAATCAAAATTAAAATTCAAGAATCAGGAGATACCTGGGGAAAAAGTTACTTGGAGTCATAACGTTTAGGTACCTACCCAAGTGCAGAAAAAGCAGAGGAGGGGGAAGCCGACCAAGCCTAAAGGGGAGATCGTCGCACGGATGACCCCTGGTGAAGAGCCAACCACAGTGCTATACCTCCATAATGCACTGTTATCCATACATTCAGTCGACGTAACGCCAGATGCATGAGAGACACAAAACCCTAAAGTATGTTCTAATATCTGCGGTGTTATTAGTTTTATAGACAACTAGCGCACAATTCATAGAGGCACAAGCCTGGTCTGCTAACTGCTCGGTGACACAAGGTATACTGAAGCGACTTGGACAAAGGCATCAACCATTTTTAGTTCCTGTTTCAGGGAACAGCATCTACAGCCAGCATCATCAGGTCTCAACAAGTCATAATGTGGCGACGAATGAAGTCCCGAGCGCAAGATCATGCTATAACCCCTCGCGTTACTGGTCATCCTTGTGGCTAGTGATTACCACACATATAAGGGCTCCTTTGTATAGAAGGTGAATTACTCAGCCTCCTTGCTCATTACAAGATCTCTCATGTGTCCTATCGCGGAGCCGGTCAAGCAAATTTTCCCAAAATTTCTGTAGGCTCTTTCTGCCAGCTCGTCTTTGGACTTTGAAACAATTTCAAGCAAGACCAGCTAGGCACTCATTGGAATTGAAGATCGATGTGTGCTGACCGTGGTCCAAGCCGTTCATGGACATACCTATTGGTGATTTCCCTCCTCGCAAAATTGATGAGATATTCATGTACTGTATCCAGGCCAGCGCGCCGCTATTTTTAAATGACAATTTCGTCACCGATGAGCCTTACGCACTGCAGGTGACAGGTCCTGTAAACAAAGGGCTAGGGTATACATAGGAACGGTTTTTCAGTCTTCTAGTGAGATCAAGAAATAGATAACACTCGAAAATACGTAACACCCACATAGAATGTAAACGAAACCTGTGTCTGGGTCCCCAGGAGGGGTCCCATAGTATGAGCAGACCGTTCCAACAAAAAGCTCTGCCGTTGCCAAGACAAGGAACGAAAAAGACACCTGACGCAGGATCTGTGCACTGACACCTTGGTGATTTTGGATACGCTGAGCATAGAGCACTACCGTAGGCAGTGTTGCTGTGAACAATGAGATTGCAACAAAAGCCCGAGGCACGATGGACCGGTCAAATTCTCTCAAGAGAGGAAGTATCACGGGCAGGAATGCAGCAGAGAAAAATAAAAACACAATATGTCGCACATGCTCATCTAATATTCTATTCTCCTCGCGTCCGCCCAGTTGCTGCAAACTTAGATCGAAGTTGTACTTTTGCATGTGCAAGACGATATTAAATCTCTCAAAAATATTTTCCACCTTCTGGTAGTCTATATATGCCGGACATCTTATCACGTGTGATCCTAGAGTCAGCAGATTAAGTAGTATATTTTTCTACTCCCAAAAATAGTTTTGTTGATGAAAAAATAATGTGGAAAATCGGCACATTATGTGAATCTGGCCCTTAGGCTCCAGGGAGGAAAGCTAGGGAATACCTGGTGCACCGCAAAATCTGTACTTGGAGCCTTGCCATAAACTTAGAAATTGGCCACATATGGCACACAAGATTGACCGGTGCGATAGAAGAATTCGACATATATTCAATTCACGAGTAAACTTCGAGAACTACCTGACCATAAGCGTCTTGATGCGCACTGTTTGACCGTTCCGTCCAATGCTGTGAACTCCTAGTTCAACAATCATGGGTCGTCAGATAATATTAATACAATCGTCACTGGACGGAAGATGTAGAATCACCTCGACTGACAACTACGTCAAGAGTAGCTTCAAATGCATTGAGCGTTGTTCCGATCATTCTTCACGCTCATCCTCCACAGGAATCTCTGGCCACTCTGTTCATGTTTCCACATTGCCATGAGTGAGAATCTGACTATCAACCGTAAATTGGCCATGACAGCTGAATTGCGATCGACAGCGTCTATTATCTCAGAATCCACTCCCGGTCATTCATTGATACTCCCACCGTGGGTTTGGAGGATCCGCTAAACGGCGTCGTATGCAGGCACCTTCGTCTGGCTTTGTGTGGGTATCCACTTCTCCAGTATGTCTCACAGAGACGGTAAAGTCCTTTCTGGGGACTTTCTTGGCCTGTACGACATAAGATTTGAGTCGGTATTTAGAGCCTGCCTAGAATGGCCCTGAAAATCGGGTCGGATCTCTTCGGCGGTTCTACCATAATGTCAGACTCTGCAGAAATCGAACCAATCTCATACATGCATACACTGTTACTGGAACCATTCTGGACCTCTGCATGGCCAAAGGAAAGCTCTGACTCATTTCGATCGAAGGATGTGGGCGGTAGATGGAACAAGAGTCGTATTTATATCATTCAGTATCCCAATCGTTTCTGAAAATAACTCATCTTCAGCTTCACGAGGTTCAACAGGCAAAGCTTCAGGAAAATGATTTTGCTTGCAATATACCATAAAGGGATAACTTTAAGGAATACCCTAGAAAACCGGGTAACGGCACCGGCTGGTCTCTGACTCTGACGGCAACTTTGAAGTCACGGTCACCTACTGCCAAATGAGACGAAATGGTAGATTTCATATATCATTTCACGGGATAAAGGAGAAGAGACGCCAGTCTGGTAAGAATAATCGTGGAACTCAACGTTAAAAACGTCGCCTTGAGATATGCAGCAGCGACAGTATCAAGTTACTGAATGTACAAATTCTGCCGGCCATCTGGGGAAGTCCAATCTCCATCACCGGTGTGTCTTAGGTTGTTCTCCGTGTTCACTATCATGTCTACTTTATCTAGGTAGTAGTATATAATCATCGTTGAGTAAAGTGAGACTAGCTCTAGTGAAACAACGGCCCTGTTCACTCTTCATGCCCGGAAGAGGCCAAGGATGAATTATTTGGCGATAATTTCAAGTTGATGAAAAGATTTTACTTGAATGAATGAAACTGCTGTAGATATAAATCGGTTTGACCTGCTCTTACTTCTACAAACGTCCTGTTTCCCAGTGGCATGCGGGTCGCATGAAGTCACAATGGATCATGCCAAACAGCCATCATTGAAGATCAGACTCATTGTGAGCACAGAGCCTTATACATAACAATTATGTTTGGCCAATATTCTGCGCTAACGGATATTATGGTCATTTCAGCCCGACCGTGCAGGTTCGCAGTGGCTTGGACTCAGCACCACACGATGTGCCGTCAACTCGCGGGTTTCAGACGAAGATCTCAAATACATATCCATAGCGAATACCACAAAGACTAAAAGATACAACGGAGATGTTTCAAGAGCGGTGGTTGAGAAAGGATTTGACCATCTTCTTCTCGGGGACTTTCTGGGTTTATCAAAGCGGCAACGTATTCTGGAGCATCTCCGTATAGTGAGAGCCAAGCATGAGCAGAACAAGACTTTCTCAACTTAGCTTGGCGGTGCCGTGAGACAAGGCGAAATTATTCAACGCAAAAGTCAGATTCACTGAGTTCGACTGTTGGAAAAACTGTTAATATTGCGTCGTGGGCATGGTCACAAATCGAAAGTCAAATTATCAGACAATTGTTTTGCCTACCACGAGCTAGTCTACATAGTGCGATGTGGTTGAGAGAGAGAGAGAGAGAGAGAGAGAGAGAGAGAGAGAGAGAGAGAGAGGAACGGGTTTTACACAATCGACGGAAAAATCAGCTTTCCAGCTTGCTGCCTTCGCGCATACTACTCGTTTCCGTCCAAACGGCTCCTATTACAAAGAAGTCGAGGCCACAACAATGATCGATAAACGCTTTATTCAGCCTCAAATTCCAAATTCACCACACTGGAATGATGAACAATGTTTCAACATATTAGATTAGAGGAGCTAAAGAACGGGACCACGAAGACCCGTCAACATAGGTCACCATTCCGTCTTCGTGTTGTTTAGATGAGGGAGTACCTACTTGGTTACTGAATGCTAGAAATAGATTTAAAGAACTCTCTAGTTCACGCGTATACAGGTGAATGACACACGTTTGTTGGTTATAGATAAACATACAGAAGGAAGGAAACCTATAGAGCAATCTACGATCACAATGTCGCGGATGCCAAACATGGCCGAAGGGCTAAGATTTCTTTTGCATCTGTGATTATATTTATTGACTCCTGTTTGATTCAATTGATATACCACTTGACACCGGAGATGCGGCCCGCATCAAGAGATCCCGCCAGAGCTTCGAAGAAAGCCCGAGACAAATCGACTGAGGTGTTGTCGCAACCTACACACTTATCCACAACTTGACCAGTCTTGGTTATACCTTTGTACGTGACAGTCACTGTCTTCCCACAATCAGAGTTTGTGATGATACCATGGGGCAGTGCGACCACGAACTCGGTCAAACCATTGTTCGTCGTACCACAGAAACTGGGATTGGATGCGGTGGTGGCAGTGTCGTAGTATGTGATATCGCCAGTGCAGGGCGCTGTCTCAGAGCAAGCACCGGTGTTAAAAGAGCTGCTTTGGGATACGGAGCTGGGGACCACAACATTAACATAAGAAGTATGTAGGCTCGAGAGGGCAGCAATAGAGGTTGATAGAATGGCGTTCTCTTCCTGGAGCACCACGCCACTGCGAGCTGGAGTGGTTTCGCTAGGGGAGATGGTCATGGATATGGCCTTCCATGCATCGAAGCAGTCGTTGACATCACCCGCAAGACCTGAAGTGGAGAAAAGACCAAGTACGAAGTTTGACATGAGGATACTCATTGTGTGGGAAGACTTTTCGAGGGGTACTCTCATGGTGCTGATACTCATGTGCTGCGGAGGAAATTCTTTTTCTTTTGTAAACGCAGCTGACGAGACCGAATGTCTGCATTCAAGGTCAAAAACGTTTTGTTATAGACCGAAATCGGGTTCTGGCCTCGAACATTAACTCCAGATTCAATTTCAGCTAAATTGCTGGCACTTCAATGAGTTACGGAAATGAGGCGGCGTACCGTAACATCACGTATCTTCCAAGGGTGTAGGTTCATCAGATAATATCTTTGTCGCACCACTCTTACACTGAAGTCAATAGTACTGTGCGTTGGTCAGAGCTGAGATTGCGAACAACTCTCGGCCCTCATAGAAAACAACACAGCGAAACTAAAATCATCTCTCGCTTGAGCGCTACCTGTAATGTCAGATTTTGATATTACACGGATACTCAGATACGATACTTTCGTGCCAGCATGTGTGAGACTTGTTTCACTCTGAAGAATTATTAGGTCCATACGGTTTAAAGAAACGATTATTACGTTTAAGTAATAATTTAGGAAAATTGAGTACTGGAACTATAACTCGTCATGCATTTCTATTATAGTATATTGTTCTCCTTTTTCAATGTTATATTAGATACCCATATTTTTAACAAGTTGTATTTAGTAAATAATAATTTGGTAAAACTTATGTTATCATTATATATTGATTCTTTAGGGTCAAATCCTGTCATATTCAATATTTATGAACTTATAACAAATATAAATATATGAAAAATTTGTGTTATAGAAGATGTATGAATCAAACCTCCAACTAACCTCTCTGAAGTTCGGTCCTGGATACTCGGTTATGGCTGATTGATTGGAATTCAAGTGGCGAAGCTCCACCCCGCACCTAGAGTCCCTGGGCTAGCAAGTACATTGTCTATCATCCCCAAGCTTGTAATATTTTTTTCGGGACTCCCTGTAATTTTCCTATCCGCAAACTATGGTACCAGCTAGTAATCGGTAGTAAACCAGCCACCTGCTCACACAAATGATTGTCGAAGGATACCTAAATTTTGCCCTCCCCGGTCGGAGTTGACTACGATGATCTCTTTTTGTCCATACTACGTTGCTTACATTGCATGGGACAGTATCCGGCGCCTGCTCAGTGATATAAGCCGGCCCTTCACTGGTTACAGTACTTTAGATTGAGACCATACGGGCCACATCCGACCTTGTCATGAATTTTGATGTCTCAGGGCCCAAGAGCCACCCCGGGGCTGCCGTCGTCACACTTAAGAACGACGAGGTGATAGAACCTCAACAGGTCCAAGTGGCGCCAATAGAGCATTGGTCAGTGCCCGTAGCGGAGCTCATAAAGTAACACGTGTTGATTCATGTTAGAATCAACGCACCCCCCTGATAGAATCAAAATCCTGGTAATTCGGCTTCGCCTGTTTTCTATTTCCCTCCACAGGGAAAAATAACCCGTAACATATCATACACGACTTCTGCTGTGAAAGGCACCCTGCACAAAGCTTGCCAATATCTGGGAACATGGTTAACAAGTATCTTTTTCGTAATTACTGAAAACAGAAATACATTAAAAGTCACTTACTGCAATTGATTCCACACGAAACCGGAGCACGTACTTCATTGCATATCATCACATCATCACATAGCCTCGACCGCTCCAACGTTTCCGTCCATTAATGTAAAAATATCCCCTTCTTATGTCAGTGACCCTCCCAAGAATAATCAAAAGTACATACCTGAGTATTTCTTCGCTTTGATAGTATCAAACCACAAACCGAGGCAACCAATGTCGAAGCCAGATACAAATCAAAGTGTGAGCATTGGCTTACGCCAACCAATATCTCATCCGACCTAGAGATGATGCCAACAGCATACGTTATGACACTCATGCGAAGAATGAAAATGAAAATGTTGGGCACATGGGCCCAACGTTCATCAACACTGTGGGACCATTGTAAAATACACCACAGAACAATGGCCCACGCGCAAACAACGCCCGCCAGGCTTGCTGTGACAACATGCGATAATCCATAAACAGAGTAGCCGTGAAATGGCGACAAATTCTCGCTGTCAACTGACGGTAAGTCGTTCGCCGATACGCCCATGACGTAACCATACTCAACATTGAATAAACATAACGAATTCAATGAAAGGGTATAACTGAAGAACACGAACTTTTCCAACGTCTGCATAAACATATTGACAATGTGAAAAAACAAACAAACTGGGTATACCCAGTCTTTATATACCGAATCTAGGCGCCGACCAAGTCACCTGCTCATGCACCTTCTAACCGGATACGGTAGTCTCTCAGTCTCAAGACTCATCTCTGTCTCAAAGAGGTCGAGTCTCTGACTCGCCCGCATTCCCATTTAACGCAGACGGTTTCGATCATACCGCTTTTAGGATCGTATTTTCACCGCATTGTTACGCAGTACTTGATTCGAGCGAAAGTGCGGAGCGCTTCGCCGTATATCCTTATTCGCCGCAGTACTCGGCGCCGCCCCGAACGACGCTACCTCATTGATGCCCCATCACGTGTCAGCGACGGTGATAATTAAGGTGGATGCACCCGTGATGAAACTGTTCAATCTGCGTAGCATGAGACCAGATATTTATAGCAGGCAGCCCGTGACAAGAAGTGCTACGTTGTTGAACAGGTCCACGGCGCTAGTTCTGCTGTAGGCTGAACAGGTACAATTTTGATCCTCGCATCTGGGCTTTGCGTGATATGACGGGTGGAAAATCCCCCAAGAGGTATCATCAGAATGCGACCCCGGTGAATTTTTTTGACAAGGGAATTACCGACCACCTTTTCTTTTTAAGCATATGCATATTGACGCACAAGAGCTTGAAATTATGGAGTCATAATACGACCTAATACGCCACAGAATCTTGCACAGGATTATTTCCACGCGTTGTGCGGGGCCCTGGAAGTGACATACATAGTCGAAATCTTTCACTCCTGCGGCAACTGATCCGAAGTTTGTCAAAAAATCGTCTTTACCACTTTGGTGGAAAGTTTTGTTTCTTTCTCTCGGGGATCTTCGTCCACCCCCGGCGCTGTGGCGGAAAGACTTGCTTTTCTTATTACCGTACTATTGTTCTATTTCAGTTTACCGCTGTTTGCACAGCCAACTGCGAACAACTCGATATAGTATTAACCTAAATTATGTCAACAAATCAGATTCATGGCTCTAGAGGCATTTTGACAATCAATGTCAAATTTTAGATCGTAATCACAATCCCTGAAATGTGGTTTCGCAGCCGATGGACCTGAGGGAGTTGTGGGGCGACGGCCGCAGAATAGACCAAGGCAGTTGGTAATTTCACTTCTTTTGACTCGACATCCAGTTCGCTGGCTTGATAAAAGGACGACCAAGAGGTCATTGAGACCCTCCAGACTACTCAGGGCGTCAATTGACATGCAACCAAGGGACTTCGCCCTCGAATGCGAATAAGAGCAGCCCTGTCGGCCGTGGGAATAGGTTGTGCTAGAATCGGGCGCTTAGGTTGTCATCGTCGTGGTCGAATTTTGATTATAGGAATATAGGATGGTGGTCAAACACCAACTTGGTATCAGTGTTATAAATCTATTGGCAATTTGGAAAATAGCTGGTTGACATTATATCTGCCACACCCTTGGATTATTGGCTAGTGAGTTAACGAAGCCAAGCGTCGGACGTCCAAAGCGTGTACATGGAACAATGTCCAGTACCTCCCTTTTGCAGCACCTGTATTGCAATCAGAGAGAATTTTTCTTTACTGCGGCTGGACTGTACAAAGTCTGTTCTATCAACAGAACACATAGGCGGTAAACAAATACGAAAATCATTCAATTGGGTGATTTCAACCACAAAGCAGACGAAGCATTCCTCTTCGGGGTACTGTCTAGTTATTTAGGGCTTGAGAGAGCACCTCACCTTCTTCTTCAGAAAAAGGCACGCCCTCAAAGAGTCAATCCTATTATATCGAAAAGAAATTATTCCTCTTTGCACTCACATAGTCCTTAGTCAATCGCCTAAAGCATATCCGATCTTGGAATATGGCCTCAATTTGATGATACACTGCTCTCGGGTGAATCGCGTTGCTAAGGGAGTCTAAATGTCAACGAAGGCTTGGGAATCTTGCCATTCCATGCACGCTGCTTCAAAGAATTCGGTCACGTTAATTTCATCAGGACATATCAAGTCAAGGCGCTTGTAAGACAAATGCCTTTGTATTGCTCCCAATCCATGTCTCATGATAAGAACCACTTCTTTTTCTACCTAAAGATTCAGCAAGTGTTTGACAACTGCAACATTTCATAGGAATCTTACCGGTATAATGAAATTTAAGAAGTAACTTCAAAGCATTCCAGATCTGGAACATATGCTCTGCATCCGTCGGGCGGACAGCATGATCCTGTTGCATTAAAGTAGTCTTTTTAGCGCATTTGCAACCTACGTGCCTCTGAGGTATAGTTCGAGATGCTCATGGAATTCTCAAAAACATGGCAGAGTCCCTACCTGGAACCATTGGAACTCGTTTAACGCATTACCTCCTTTGGTGACACCTGTGAGCACGACTGTGGGACCACAAGCGTCCAAAAAGCCCCACAAAAGTCCAAAACCTCGATGTACGCCGTGGAGGTTGCCGTGGAGGTCGGTGAGGCCTGTCCTTCGGCTGTGGTCAAAGTTGAGCTTGCGAATAAAAGCCACGATGAAGTTTCGGAGCCATACGCAGCAAGAATTGGGGTATATGTCTTTGTCAATCACATCCTCTGGACGAGGCTGATTGGCCAGGAGGTATCGTACTCGTTCGAGCTGCCGACCATTCAAAGCATCTAGGTGACCCTCAAACCCAAAGAATGTACTTAACAGCCCTCTTCCTAGCGCTTCTGCCGTACGTAGAAATTGACTGGAAGGTCTGTTGAACGCTAAAGGTCGTCGAATGTTGATTTCCAAGTCTCCACTACCCCTGTCAGATTTGCCTCCTGATTGAGCCTGCACCGGCATAATTTTCTCTCGTTCGGCGTTGTGGTGCTGACCTTCCCAAAGCTGAGCTTTAACTGTACATGCCAGCGGGTGAATTTTTCCCGCGACATAGCCAATATCTACCTCTTTTGGAGACCAGACACACTGTCTTGCTTTGTCAAAATCGACTTGATCCGAAGGAATGTCAAACGGTCCCGGAGACCTTTCCGGCAGCAACAACGACATTTGGTTCATATCATCCATCCTAGCCGCATGCTCCATGTTACCAACGATCTCATCTAACAAGGCTGGTGAATCAGGTAGATTAGGCGCCACTAAGTCGGGGTCGGGTGGATCTGGAGGGAGAGGCTTGTTTTTGAGATCCTTATTAATCTCCTCGTCGCCGGGTCGCGAATATGTCGGGGTCCATTGGGAAATCATAGCAGAACTAGACACAAAAAAGCCCTCTTTTTTCACTTTCGGCTTTCGGAAGTTGAGAGGTTTTGGAGGGAGAGGCTTATTCAATTGAGAATACATTGTGGTTGACGCTTTTGATGGGTCCTCAAAGATGCACTCTCTTGGTCTTTGGGCAGACATAGCATCAGGTCACTGTAAGCCCTATCTACGACGATAGGCTCTTATTACAATGAAGTTTTCTGTTCTACCGCTCCATGCGAAGCCAGACGATTGAATGCTGCATTTTATTCTGCTATAAGGCTTGATTCTACAATGCATCGTAGCGAAAGAGCTGGATCTGGCAGGGGCCCAAATTGGGACTCCTATTTGGTAAGGATGGTTCTCAAAGCTTTCGAGCTCTACTACAAATTTGGAAAGGAATTTTGGATTTTGTCATAGAGAACAGTCAGAAGTCTACATATAAGTAAATTGTACATGTCACCGTATACATTTCTTGGGCCAGGACGTGTTCCAAGTCATTTTCAGCTTGACGTGTGATTTCATAGAGAGAATTTACTGCAGATACCCTCTGTGCTGTACGATGTGCAATTTTTGGTATTTAATCGGTTCTTTGTTGCCTGGACCATAAATACCGAAAAAAGGGCCGGCACCAACACAAATGAATCCCAAAATATCAATACCATGTATACTGCGTGTCACACACCCAGTAATACCCACTTCTGACGGTCCCTATTATTCTGCTAGTCAGTACACTAAAGACAGCGTTTTCTCACGGACCTAGAAGAAAAGGCGCTAAAAGATCTGGGTTTGCAAAAATGGACTTGCTCTTGGTGCTCAAACTTTTGTGAATAGTGGTCTCCTGATACAAGAAGCTCCTTCACTTTCTACATAGAACGAGAGGAAAGGATATATTATAGCTCTATGAATTCACTATCTGACGAAGGGGAGTTGTCAGATACGGTCACAATACATCATCTGCAATACGACTTGTTACGGGAGCCAGGAAAGAAATTGCAGAAAATACTGTAACAAACACGATATTGTTGACGTAGTGTTTGATAATAGGGCTGCCACGTGTATTACCAGTCTCATTCAAAGAACCGTCCGAAAGGAATAATGATTTTCAGTAATGCTACATGGTCCCTTTGCAGGCTATCACGGCACATATCCAAGGGTCCTAGAACCAATTTCAGACATTACTTGGTGGATCTTCAGCCAAGAGGGCCACAGGTCATGGCGGACAGGTTTCATTTGTCTGATAAATCTTGCACTCCCCTAGTTCGAGAGCTAGAAATATCTACTCTTCATCGAGGAGGATCATGCTAGAGAATCGAGGTGTCTGTCGGCCAATACCGGTTGAATTTGAAACCATTGTCAATTGTTTACTGTTTGCCGATAATCAAAAGGAACACGAAAGTGGAGAAGAATTGAAAGCCTATCAGAGACACCGTCCAAGCAGATTAAGCACTATTCAAGTAATAAGTCGGATGAGTTGGCGTCGCGTATGTTAGAGCATCACACTTGCATACTAAACAAAGGATCTTGGCCCATACAATATTTCGACCCGGGTATTCACATTTACTGGTTCACTCGCGGCCCCTTCGGCAAATTGTACTTTGCATGGGGCTCTAAGGTTTGGGTCTCTTATAATAAGCACTTTTTACAATATTCCGCATAATCTCCAGTTCTCCTGGATACAGCAGGGACCGCATTGGTTCAGGAGTGTTCGAGTCAATCAGGTATTGTTACAGTACCACGGGTCATGGATAAATCAAATTGAATTCATACTCACAAGTCAGACGAATCTGAGGACACCTTCATTGACATTGACAATCGCTCGCCCCTAAATTTCTCTATCATTAGATTTGAACGCCCTGAAAGCTCAAATATACCCTACCGAGGCTGCTCAACTATGAAAAATATGTAGCAATGTTGAACAACTCCACGCTTTCTGTATCCTGTGCCCGACAACCACAGCGCACCTGCGAATAAGCATTTGCAGGATATTACTGACCTTCGATAAAACCCCTTCGGTGAAAGATGGATTTATTCCGCCGCGGGTCATTTAAGGGTTGTTGTCATCCAACGACTGCGCCGAAAAGGCAATGATGAGGTCAGCCATTGGATCTCGGGCGTTGACTCTACCTGTCCATCTTGGAAGTCCAAATGTGGTTTTGAACTGGTCATACTGGTCGTATGGAATGTGCCTATGGTATATCCTGCAAGGACGAACGGCCAAGGCTTCTTGAAGGAGACTTTTTGTTCTACTTGAGTTTCTCTTTATACTCAAGCTGCCAGTGAAACAAGGAGCTTTGTCAGTGCGCCAACCTTGAGCAGCCGAAGGAGGTTGGCTCTTTGGGAAAGGATGAATTCCTGGGGGAGGTTGACTGCTTTCGGGAGGTTGACTGCTTGTGGGAGGTTGACTGCTTTCGGGAGGTTGACTGCTTGTGGGAGGTTGACTGCTTGGGTGAGGTTGACTGCTTGGGTGAGGTTGGCTCTTTGGGAAAGGATGAATTCCTGGGGGAGGTTGACTGCTTTCGGGAGGTTGACTGCTTGTGGGAGGTTGACTGCTTGTGGGAGGTTGACTGCTTGGGTGAGGTTGACTGCTTGGGTGAGGTTGGCTCTTTGGGAAAGGATGAATTCCTGGGGGAGGTTGACTGCTTTCGGGAGATTGACTGCTTGGGGGAAGGTTGGTCTCTGAGGCAGACTTTTGCCCCGGCTGAGCCTCCCACGGCTCTGGTTTTCCTTTTGGTTCTGGAGTGGCTCTACATCCGGACCTGTACGCTGACTGTTTTGCCTTTTTCCTGTCATCTACTTTGCTGCTGGGATTACTATGCGGTTGTGCCCTTTTTGGTCCACTTGTGCGGGGAGAAGCTCCGTATTGCTTTTTTGGCCCATATGGTCCATCAGGCCACTTAGCTCTAGGAGCAGGCTTCGATGAAGGCGTGAATGCAGTTTCCGCGCGTCCTGCCTTCCTCTGCTGCGCTGATTGTTTGGTTCTTTCGGCACCCGTTCTAGCGGTATTCCGTTCCTTTGCCTCAGAATACCCTGCAGCCTTTCTTTCCGCATTGTATTCCTTTCGTTTTTCTGGATCTTTCAACACGTGATACGCGTTCAGAATCTCCTGGAACGTTTCCGTACTCTCCACGCTCCCACTATTCTTATCGGGATGATGTTTGAGGGCTTGTTCAATCCTGGTAAGTTTTGATACCCTCCGACTATGTATTGAGTTCTTAATTCTTACCTACCGAGCGTTTTATATGCACGACTCAAATCCCTGGTCGACGCATTTTGACCTACTCCTAGGATTTCGTAATATCTTGGGACGTCTGACATATTGACTGTTGCACCCCGGCTTGTAATGTGGTGGTGCTTGAGCCAGGGTTATATGGTATCTCTAGACGAAATAATTTTGGGGGCGCATGCTTGCCCTAAATTCGTGACCTTCACCAAAGCGGTCCATATCAGGCCATCGGCATGCTAATTCGATGCGAAACATTTTCACTCCGACAGTAAAACAGTAAAACACAATCTCTTAATTTTGATGCATCAGTAAACGTATGAGGGTTTGGTTCAGTATCAACAGTGTGGAGCTTAGCTAGTCATAAATTTAGAAATAAAATCCACGCAGTGAAATGTTGCATGCATTATGAGATGATTCAGAAGGAAAGCAAACCATGTTACCAATTACCGGTGAATGACGGGAAAATTTCCAAATGCGTATATTTTCCCCACTTCCAAAAACAGCATTCCTCATCTTTCTCCCGTATCTGATATGAACTGCGATAAGCCTTTTAATTTGAAATTCAGTTCCATTTTTTGGTTGTCCGCTTAATGACCCCTCGACGCTCTCTCCCCTCGACCTGCCACTTGAAACCCAGCTCCATCCCGCCACCCACCGGTATCAAGTATTTTCACGCCCTTTTTAACCATTATTGCATTTCTTTACTTTACTGCGTTAGGGTCTGTCGAGCCTAGTAATTTCCGATAGCCTCTTGAGCTAGAAGTATTATTTTTTACGTAGTGCTTTCCCCTACCACTTTTTGCGGCTATGGTCGTAGACTGGAGCCCCGCGGAAAGGAGTCGGGAACATATACTTTAATCTACCAGATTCGGACATGGCGACCAGCTCGGCCCAGCAAGCTGCGATTTTCGGGTCAAGGAAAATACCGCCAACTTCATCGTTGAATCACGTGGCATGCTAAATTAGCGTATTCTCGCTTACGGAGACCAAAAAAGAGCGGACCATTTCTGTCGTGCTCAGAATTCCCCTCTTCATCCGACTGTCTCAACGAAACGAAAATCTTCTTTAGCAATGTACAAACCCACAAAACCCTAGAGGATTATATGAAAGATATCAGAAATCGCTTTAACCCAGTTGACGACGACACCAGCGAGGACCCCAGCGAGAAAACCAGGAAGAATTCTGCTGCGGTAACAGAAATTAGACAATGGTTGCAGCAGAAGTCCGAGATAATTTCAGATGCCGCCTTGCACGCCGTTGGTAATGTCGAGCACCATGACGCAGATTTCTGTGATGCTATCTTGGCGGTGGACATGAGCCAAAAATCAGTTCTCATCGGCTGTGATGGCAAGGGAAGCCCAATCTTGCATGCTGAAGCAGTCGATCGATCTGATACGGATGTTGCGAGAATTGAAGAAATATTCTCAAGCTGGAGAGGTTTAACAGCCCTCGGACTATTCGTCGCCCGAATGGAAGATTTCGACTATGTTGTCGGAAAGATGACAAGGAGAGAAAGGTCGGAATTGTTTTGGTGCTGTCTCCATGGGTTGAAACTTCTGGACGGATCAGAGCATCAAGTCTACGCGGCTTGCACGAATAAGCGCTTCCCACGACGAATTGTCACCGGGCCTTTCAAGAAGGATTGGCCACCGTATGCCAAGACAGAAGCTCAATAACGTTTGAATATATGTATGGTGATGCACCGAGTCTGTGTACGTTTACCGCGTCGATAAAATTGGCCAGTTCCTGACATTCTGTTGGGTCAGTGAGTCTTGGATGTCAATAAAGCCATAGCTCTACAGGCTGGTGGGGCCATAGCCTTAGAGCAAATGAATATATCAGTTAGTTAATGTAGTTCCCTACCGACCGGAACAACCGGTCGTGCGGAACACCCCAAAATATCATACTAAATACGATTTCTCAGATCATGCTATTTACACAACGAGGAGTTATTTTAGCTTCATTTTAAGTAGAGTGTAATTCCATAGCATTCGAAATAGTATATATAGTACAGCCAATATATTCAGGAGATAATCATTTACTCACATTACCGAAATTACGCTCTGATCGACTGACGTAGATATATATACCTGAATTTTCGCGCCCCAAAATATTTCTTAACCTAATCAGAATTTGTAGTATGATATATTACAGTCTAAGATACTCTAAGAATATTTAGTAATTCTTAGGTGTTGAATTATGGAGTTATGAAAAATCGCATTTAGTATGATGTTTTAGGGTGTTCCGCGCAGCAGGGAACTACGTTAACTAACGTAGTTCACGGCCGACCGAGCCACCCCAAAACACCATACTAAAAGCGATAATTTACAACTTTATATCTCAACAACCATATATACTGAGGATAAGATACTAAAGATATACCAACTGGACACACTAAATAACCTCTCTACTGAGTGAGAAAGGATAAATTCAAGTACTGCGAGAGAGCTATATATTGACATCTGAAACAGCGAAAATACGCTGTATTTTATGGTAAAGCACAAAAATAATAGTCGCAAAGGTTTTTAAGTCTCACTTCTAGTATTTCTATACGTGTAATAATGTATCTCTCAAAATTTTAGCAATACTTAATTGGTGGTGGTTGAGATATAGAGTTGTAAATTATCGCATTTAGTATGGTGTGTTAGGGTGGCTCGGTCAGCTGTGAACTACGTTAGTTATTTTGTTGTGTCTTGTTAAGAAGCTGTCGTGTCCCAAGTAGACCACTTGCCATAGATCAAGGGACATTTCGATACATTAAACGTGCCCATTCGGATTAGTCCGTGGCCGTTTGACGCTTATTCTCTGTGCGCAAATAGTGAGTAGGGAACCGTGCAAAAGCGAAGAGAGGGCACCAGGGACTAACGGAAGAGACCAGGATTCGATCCAGGATTCGAACCGTAGCATCTTCAAGTCCGCGTACTATCGACGCGGCATACGCCCGCCGTAATCTGAGATTCTCGTCTGTGTACATCGGTTGGCTGTGGCATCGAAGACTGGCCAGGGATCTCGCGACAGAAGATCAGAGCGCAGTAGGAGCCGCCCGCTCTATTCGTGAGAGTCTACGGTCTATTAGGTCTGCTATTAGCGAAAATCTGCATTTTGTAGAGCTTTGGCTAGCAATCCGTTATCGTTTAATGCTCTTGCACGTCTAGCGCGAATTCGCAGGAACGGTTGGGGACTTTCAGGAGAACGAGCGGGCGATCAATCATCCCGTTCGGTTCGGATCACGCCCTGTGGGCCGGATCGAGAACCCAAGAAATTCGAGACTTAGGTACGGTGTTAACTACATGTTTGACTACTTAGGGCTTCAGGAGGCACGTGACCACCAACGGAACTGCCCTTGGGAGGGAGCGTGGCCAAATTTCATACTGAACTCGTCCCTCGCGTTCTATAAGTAATTCTGAACTGGTGACAGAAGGGCAAGCGGATTTGCTCTCTCATTTGTACCGCGTTTGGCCACTTGGCCTGATTGCGCATATCGCTAATGTCAGGCCATCTGTAACTTACTGGTGTTGGGCGAATGATCTTCTCCTAATCAAGAATGTCGATGTCGCCGATTCTGCACAATATTCGAGGAACAAGAGCTAGTCGCCACATACAAATATGCAAAAATTGACGAGATCCCGCACATGCTCCAAAGAAAGTATCTAACGGAAGAAGGAGGAGTCAGTTTTGAAGAGCGTGGCACGGTTGATTTTCTAGCCTATTGTGCTGCGGCATGAGACGGCTTTCTGTTACCCTTTCATTATTTTCTTTCTCAATTATCCTGGATTCATCAATATTCTTTCTCGGGCTGAAATACCCGCACTTTCTTCCCCGATGTTTCCAACTATGCTAAGACAGAGATCAACATCCCAGTTTCACCAGTATCAGCTTGTTTGGACTCATCGTTGAACCATGCATGAAAAGCCCGGCTGCATGATGCGTACCTCCTGTGTCGTGAGATTAGCGCACCACCGTGTTGCGGACACCAACTAGGATCATTTTGAGGAGAGCTCTTGACAGCAAACGGTGTATGGTGAGCTTCTCAATCAAATTGCAATAGCCGGTGCCCGGATTTGAGTATAAGGCGGTATCTCCTCAGAGTGGCGAGGTGGCGAAGGAAGAGGGATCCGCGACAGACTAGGCTAATATAAAACATCCGAGTACATAAATCCTATCACTTAAAATAAGATATCTATATAATACAATTCTGACAATAACTTGCATATCCTGACAAGATGATGAAGTAGTACTTCGACGTGCACAATGCTCTGCGACTGTCGTCTTGGATGGGTATTCGTTGACTCCTATTTTTACCCGGTCGCAGGTCTGATACACCAGAACGTACCAAAAATAGAAATGACAGCAACAGCACTACTAATACCGAATTCAATCCCCCAGACACCGGATGCTCCAACCTACAGAGAACAGACAATGAGTCATCTTCAAATCGCTCATTGGCCCGAATATCAAGGATGTGCTCACGTGGATTACAATCTTATCGAGATCCATCCTGAGAAAAGGAGGTACTTTCGCTCCAGCGATGAAGAACAGTGGGGGAGAATACTGAACCATGACCTTGACAACAACGTTGGACTCGCCCCTATCGTTATGGTCTCCCGACTAGCGCTTGACAATGCGCGAAGAGGCAGTCGAGATGTAAGTGATGGCCGGTCGCCACCGGTGCTTTTGTTTCGTATTGGAGAGATGCTATGCCTTGATGGGCAATCTCGCGTGAGGGCGATCTTGAATCCTAGGACAGGGTCCATGACGAGAAAATTTGATTTGGTCCATCTGGTCCTTGACGGTGAGCCCCCTATTTCCGCTGACGGCACATGGGATTTGATGGATGACAAGCTGCCCTGATCAGAAATGGACGATCGTAAGCGACATGAGATTCTCTACGGTTCCTGCTACCAGATTCGTCCCAACTGCAGTAAGCTCTACACCGAAATCCAACAGACCGAAAACTTCGACGGGCGGCGGAGAAACCTACAGCTGAAGTCTACACTCAAGAAAAGCGAGCTAGAGGGCCTGAGGGCTCTGAAAAATTGTAAAAGGCTGTCTGATGCGTACAATAAAGTCAGGGAGGCTTTGCCGACCATGGCACACGGCTTTCTGTTCAGTCGGTTCAAGGCTTACCATGCCACATTATGCGAGGTTGTGAGTCAACAAAGCCCGTACTGTGCCAACTATGGCAGTTCTGACAGCAGGCCAGTCGATGGAACGGTATTTGGTGAGGTACATCTACGAATTCTGGCAGATTATGGGCAACGATGCGAGGTCAAAGATCGAGGGATTGGAGGAATTCCCGCTAAACCAAATACCCTCAGAAGCAATTGATCGGCTTCAAGGATTAATGCCAGCGACATCAAGCAAAGATCAATCAGAAGTTGACGAAGCCTTTTCAGTGCCTGAAATGTTTGGAGAGCTCAGTGAGACGCACCGAGAGGCGTTGAAAGACAGTATCTTAAGCTCACATCACATGATTCCCTCCTTCAAACTCTTCACAGTGCACATGCGAGTTCTAGAAAGGGTATCCGGCTGCCTCAAAGAAATGCTCGGCCTAAATGGGCAGCATGGGGCCCGCCGGCAAGGATGTTCGAGGCCACTCGAGACCATGCTACGAGAAATGTATACTTTGGATCGGAACAGTGACGATGAGTATCACATCCAGACTATGAATGGATGGCGGACCATCCGCGCTCCTTTCGAGGACCGGCGAGATCTCAGTTGCCGTCAACTCTGGCTCTTTGCGATGAGGCACGCGGTCGGAGTGGGTCAGATGGATCCCGATCTTTTCGCCCGCGTAGCGACACGCCTAGGGTTCTACTCTGACTACATTACGGTAAATGCGGGCGCGTGTGCCGACTCAGCTGAGGATGAGGCTCTCAATCCACCATCTTCGCGGTGGGTGGACCTTGCAACCGTCTCTGTTGAGGAACGGCTAGGACAGAAAGGAGGCCGATGGCTCAAGAAGATCGAAGACGCTCAGAGGTATCTATTTTTTGATATTGCGGAGACCATCGGAACCAAGTCTGACAAAGCTTCACAAGAACGGAAAAGATGCACAACTCTGATGGAGTTGGCAAGCATATACCGTGCTCTCTTCGGGCAGCCTCTCTCACCCTCTCCATATGCCGTAATGCCCCACGCAGAAAGTGATACTCAATTGGCCCTACATGCAGCGGCTAGTGAGCCTAGCTGGCCACAAGATCCGCCGCCCGACCGGAGTGTTAATTCCCCTGCGCCACCAATCGGGCAGACAGAGCAGTATGATGATACGGTAACGGATACCCAGCACCTCCTCCCGGGCGTTGGCGAAGAGGAAGAGCATGGTTCGGCCGAAATCGTCACCACGGAATCACCTCTGGTTAATAGGGCGCTTGGCTTGAGTGGGCTCCGGCTTCTCGATGTACTGCCCGCAGCTTCGATGATAGGCAACTGGCTCTCGCCAAGTACACTTGAACCAATACGCATCCCGATTCCGCGAGGAAGTCCCAACCAACAGATGCAAATGGCAATCCGAGATGTGGCGGACCTCAACGGGAACATCGGGGACACGGAATCGATACAGAGCGATAATGGTCTCCAACTGGAGAATTTAAATACCACTTCGCCGTCGACCTTTGATGGCCAGATTGACGGACAGCCAGGGAATCTACTTCAATTAACTATGGGAGCCGAGGAGCCGTGTACCGAAGCGTTGGGAGATACTGGCCGCGCAGCTCACACCTCCACAAGGGGGGATCCCGGTGAGGTACACCGATCGGAACTGCAACACGACAGACCCCGAACGGCCCAGATCCAGGACGGAGAGAGCCAGGCCACAGTTCCCAATGCCTCGGTTGGCCTAAATTCTCATGATACCATTCCGCATGAAGAAGATAGGGCATGGTACGGGGGAATCGTGAATGGTGATAGCCTACAGAGTTTACAGGTCGATACCGAACAATATGAGTCTGGCAACGCATTATTTGAGGCCGAGAGTATGTCGACGGAAGAGGGGCAGTCTGAACACGATCCCGAGATGGACATGGGAATTCCCACGGCGGGTCATGAAAGGCAGGGGTCAGAGGCAACAAACGCTCCGCAAGTGATGGTAGAGAATGAGAGACCCGTCTTCTCTGAGACTCAGGATAAGATACCAATCATCGACGTGGGGATTGCACCGCCCGATGATCCCCCTGTTGCTCTTGGTAGTCAAGATCAAGGCAACGAATCGTCTTTGAACACCCAGTCAAGCCCTAGCCACGGGGAGCCATTACGCGAAAAGGAGATCGAAGTGACCGTTGATGCGGGGGTGCAGCAGAGACCACCACCCCCCGGGCTAGGCCGGACCGCGGGTCTCCCTACAGCTACCAGTGCGCCTAACTGGCAGGCACCTGATATGATGGATGTAGATGAACCGCCAAAAGATCAAGCCTCGTTCAAGGACCGATCAGCCAGCTTCTCAACCACTCCTTCATCAAATAATGCCTCGCACACCTTTTCATCGACCCCAGGCTCTCCAGTACGCTCCCGGAAGCGCTCCACTAAGGGCAAAAACATATCCCGCAAACGCTCTAGTTCAGGTGGCTCTAGCTACATGCCCAAACGACGTTGTATGGAAATCGTCGTCGGACAGCGACGACTGAGTAGGGCATTGCTAGAACGTGCAAGGACAAGACTACGAAAGAAGAGAGCCTTCGTTCTCGACTTCTCAGTTTCTGGTCGACCATTTGTACGTTCTGATAAAATCGTTCATGGGCCGCGCTTACTCGCTGCTACGGAGGAGCTATTATCTTCTACCCGAGAGCTACACACGCAAACGGCAGCGGCAGTCGATGGTAATGCACCCGGGCCCTACCAGGCTTTCGACAGCCATCAGACAAAGGCCGGTGGAAAAAACCCCGCCCATCAGCAACAAACCTATCCTAGTGCCGTACCAATATCGTCAAATATTACATGTGGAGCGACTGGCATTAGCGAGCCATCGGGCAAGCGACCGAGAGAACAAGGCAGTAGCGCCTCTAGTGATGGCGATAGCCCAGCGGAAGAGAGAAACAAATTGGATGCAGAGAATCCCGCTCTGGTGGATACTCCAAACAAACGTCTTTGCTATGGGCTGAGTGATCCGCAAGGCATCGTAGTAGTTGACGCCGCCCGGAGACCTCTCGTGGAAGATATCACCATCAATCATTTGAGTAATAATGCGTCATCTAGGAAACGACGAAGTCAAGACGGCAGCGGTACTCCCAGTGACAGCGACACCCTAATGAAAGAAAGCAGCGAATTGATTGAAGAGCATCGCCATTCAATGGAAACTTCTAACAAACGGCTCTGCCTCGGACTCAGTAATCCGCAAGACATCGCATCAATTTACGCTCGCCGACCTGTGGCCTTAAATCACGCGGCGACAATTGCCACTTTGAACCGATCTCAACCCGGACAGTCTCAGGCCGAGGAAGCTGCCCAGAATCGATCAAACTGCGTTCCTCTACTCATCAACTCCAACGAAGAAGCGGCTTATTCCAACCCTCTATCTCTAGATCCGGGATTGCAGGCTTCTGATACTCAGGGTGATACTCAGGGCGATACTCAGGGCGATACTCTCATGGTTGATGCAAAAACAACAGGAAAGTCTCGCCGAAAGAAGCCACAAAAAGTCCTTAGTCGTCAGCATCAACTGACCGACAGCCTCGCCTTTATTGTAGTGCTGCTGGGCCCTGAAGTAAAGTTCGTTCATTGTCGGGCAAAAGCAACGATCAAACCCTTCCTTGAGCGACACATCAGAAATAGTGGCGACACCGGCAATTTCTTTAATCGAAATCTACGGATAGTTGAGTTAGATCCTAGCCAGCCCGGAGCAACGGGCATGGATCAATTTTTCAGGGCGGAAGACATTCTGGTTTACCAAATGACTGACCACAACGAGTTCAATACGGTGACTCTGGTGAAAAAAATCAATCTTGCAGTATCTTTGAAGAAAGAGGAAATAATACTTTCCGCCTCGCGAAGGCCTTTATATCGATTCAGGGCTCCCCGGCGCAAAAGTTAGACTATATTATAACGCTGAAGCTGGGGCACCCAAGATTTGCAAATGCTGGTTTGTTTCCGGGAAAGACGGCAATGGCTCGCCCGTGAGGAATGGAAGGCCAGCTTTTCATTCCATTCCAAACATTCACATTCACAGCGACTATTGAGTTTTTTCTCGGCTTAGGGTCCGAACACTATCAAGCCTCATCACACTTCTGTCCTGATCTAAGGTCGGTATGAAACTATACCTTCTTTGATAGTGATCAATATTTGTTTTTCTTGACATTGTCAATAGAGAAGACAGGGCTCTAGTGACTATAAGAGGGCATGAATCAAACAGTTCCTTACAGTATGATGCGAGCCACCATCTCATCATTGTCACAGAGAAAGGTTTCGTACATTACGGGAAAGGCAACAGCGGGTTAACTAGGGGATTGTTTATCATAATATATTTCAATCAAGAACACAAATAATTATGACCCTTCCAATCAGAAGACCCCAATCTGGCTCCAAGGTATCTTGAACCCTTCCCCATTGAAGAATACACTCTTGTCCCTCGAGATCAGGTTCCTTCACTTCCATCAGGTCTCTTCATCGTTTATCGCACTGACACTAATGGCTGGAAGCTTCCCGCTTGGGTCCTGTTCCATGTCGAACTTAACTCTCTGATTACTGTATAATGGGCCACTCTAAAGCAATAGCAATTGTGTTTCAGTACATTAGCAAACAATTGTATCCTTGCTCGATTATGCAGTACATACCTTCATGCCAGAAACGTGGAAAAAAAGCCCTGTCCTTCATTGATCTGTCCATCGTTGCTCTCTTGGAAATCGATACCCCTTTGTTTTAACTCCCATGATAGGTTTCTCTGGGGTGATAGGTTTCTCCGGGGTTATAAATCCATATTTTTTTCAGTACTGAACCATTTGACTCTGCCGTGCACCATCACTGCGGACTCGAACGTTATTCTGGGAAGTAGGCCGATGGAAAGAAAGCAACTCTGTAATTTCAAAGCGTAATGTTAGTGTTACGGAGAAATTAGATCAATGCAGGTGAACCTACGCAGCACAGTAACTACTTCGTCGGTGTTACATAATTGATTTCCCGCGTAACGTAATTACGGCCGAGCAGGTCACACGGTTGGCCGGGTCACCCTAAAACCCCATACTAAACGCGATTATTCAGGCCATGATATATCAACAACCGTAGGTTATTTTTGCTTAGATGTTCGAATATAGGCTTTCCTTACATTTTACAATAATACAACTTAAATTTAGGTGATTTAGGTAATTTAGATGATCACTTTGATGCCTTACCATAAAAGTACGCCGTAATTTTGACGAGAGGAACGTAAGTATATGTCTCTTTTGATACTTCTGGTAATCCTCCGGCACTATGCTAGTAGATTCTAAATTCTATCTATATCATATAGTTTTGATTTCCTATCACAAATAAATATGATTGTTGAGATATAAAGTGGTAAATTACTATAGGTTTTGGGGTGACCCGCCCAACCGTGTGACCCGCTCGGCCGTGGATTGTACGTTAACTAACGTAATTCCCAGCCGTCCCGAACACCCCCAAACACCATAGTATTCAAAGCATCCCTCGCAGTTCGGTCAAACCTGGTGCTCACAACCATCTATCCGTCAACCTAATCGGAATTTCTTGCATACCATAAATACATTTAAATCTGACAGCAGTCTGGCACTACCTTGCCACGTTGAGAAAACCCAATTGGTGCAAACGGAAGAGAGGCTCAATGCCTAAGCTAACATTACCAGACCGAGCGAGAATGTTCCGAGCTCTGCAGCATACTTATACGCCACACACGGCGATTTAAACTGAAACCGGCAAGGCGGTATGTGGAGGCTCAAAGGCCAAGAATACCTTTGCATCGCATTATGAATCGCACGAGCTGGCTCACTCCCTTTTTGAGATGTACTGTGTCAAGATAGGTTAAAGGTTTATCGCACTTATGACCCCGTGGTTTTCTTTGAACTGAGATCAACTCTATAAATAACAGTTGCGTATTTTTGCCTGTATCAGCTAGTGATTCCAGGCACTGCGTAAAGGTCTACTTCAGAATATGATACGTTCAAAAATAGCACTTTTAGCGAACTGCCTCTTCTCGCTAAGTATATGAAGCATAATCTGCTTCCTCAGTTTTGGATCCGCAGTAATTGCCCCTGTAGCATACTGAGCCTACAGCTAACTATGCCCTTCCAGGCTGCAAGGTATAAAATTGAACTGCGTGCTAGATAACTCCTCATCTATTTTTGGGTCTGTTCAGTTTCACTTTTGACACCTTTCAAGCACAGCCCAGTCACACAGGCCCTCTGCAACACCCGGGTGAGTCTTACACCTTACTGGATTGCATGAAAAATGTAATATTCACATACCTGGCTCGGCGATCTCCACTGCCTGATGAATTAATGAGCATCTATATGGAGCAGAATTCAGGGCCTGCCATAACCCTACATGAGATTCTTTGAAATGCCAGTGTCCGTAACCTAATGATTGACTTGTGGACGGTGCTGGACGATAAGTCAGATGAGAGTAGATGGATTTGAGGGGACTTGAAATTTTGATTTTATCAATTCCCTCATTTCAAGTGAATTCAAGTTTTCTTCTCAATCTTTAGCCTTCTCACGGGATGTAGACAATCACAACGCGTCCGAACTTTCTTTGATATCTATCAAAACATCGAGAAGAGAGGCAAAATGTACTCAATTCAAAGACTGTCTTAAAGTGAAACGCTTGAATCGGCTGAATTCCAGACTCCAGACCTGATCTTGAACTAGTTTATCACGATTGACGTTGGCATTTCTCTGAAGATTTATAATAAGGCGAGGAACCCAGAGTTGTGACTTTGGCGCCATTCCAGAACTCCAATCAGTGACCAAAACATTTTCCAACTCGTATCACATGTTCAAGGTAATTTTTGGATTGCTTCGTAATTCTAATGTTGGTCCTGTAGAAATTTGGTCGTGCTACAGTGGCGTTCGTCGACACGACCCATTTCGAAATCAAGAAAGTGGTCCTTCAGACCGTAATCACATGATGTGTAATACCGAATATGATAAAAGGATCTGAATTACATTGCTCCTACAACCAACGTAATGTTACAAAAGCTACAGAACTGCTAACGCAAATTAGCTGACAACCTCTGCTAACCTCTAGGGTTTCATAATTCTGACGGCACGAAAAGCGGTTTCAGAGCCTCAAGACAGACAAAATGTCACTGCTCGGTTTGCCTTCCGAATTACTACTTGTCGTTGCAGATTTTCTGGTGGCCGAGGGAGACATTAACCCATTGGCTCAAGCCAACCGCTGCGCTTATTCTCTACTAAATCCGTACCTGTATCGACGCAATTCGGTGGGTTCCGGAAGCTCGGCTCTATTATGGGCAGCCCGTCAGGGTCGGGAGGAGACAGCTCGAATATGTATTTCTGAAAGAGCAAATGTTGGGGTGATCGATGGCGTTGCCAGAACGCCGTTGTCGCGCGCGGCTGGGAATGGGCACGAGGGGGTGGTGAGGCTTATGCTAGCAACTGGGAGAGTTGATGTCGATTCCAAGGACTTAGAAGGTCGCAGTCCGCTGTCTCATGCTGCCGGTAATGGCCACGAAGGGGTTGTAAAGCTGTTATTAACAACAGGGAAGGTGGATGTCGACGGAAGGGACGACCTCAATACCACACCGTTTTCTCACGCTGCCGGAAACGGCCACGAGAGGGTAGTGAGCCTGTTATTAACAACAGGGATAGTGGATATCAATGCAGAAGATAACTTCAACATCACACCGTTATCAGAAGCTGCGCGCAATGGCCACGAAGGGGTAGTGAGGCTGCTACTAGCGACCGGGAGGGTGGATGTTCACACAAAAAACGCAAAAGGTCGTATTCCGTTGTCTCGCGCTGCCAGCAGGGGCCATGAGGGAGTGGTGAGCCTGTTACTATCGACTGGGAGATTGGATACGTACTGGAGTCGAAATGTCGTAGACCGTTGTCTCGCGCTACTCGGAGGGGTTTGGAAGTAGTGGTGAAGCTATTGCTAGCGACCACAGGTGCGGATGTCAACTCCAATGACTGTGGTTATAACGTACCATTATTATGGGCCGTTTTTTGTGGCTATGAGATGATGGAAAAGCTTTTATTTGTAACTGTAAAGGTATGTGTCGACAGTTATAGGTCACTCGGAAGGGCTATACAGGTTAGTGAAGCTGATGGTGGATCCGGCGGGTGGATGTCAACCTAAAACGCTCCGTTGTCAGTGGGCGTAACGAAGTCGTATCTTGTAACCCAGCGTAGAGAGGGACTGCGAGTCTAAACGATAATGATATTCTTGAGCTAGCTACACGATATTACGAGTTCTGGCGGCATATTGAGTCACGGAAAGGGCTATCGCGTCACGGATAGGTCATTGTTGAGCTTCTTAAGCGACAGGGTTGTATTCCTAGCCCGCTGCGTAAGGCAACTGGGTATAGTCGGAGCTGGACAGTTATTATTATTATTAATCAAGTTTATTGTCCGTATCGAGCCCTAAAGCTATGACAGACCACGGGTCTGAGGTTGGGTCTGTTTCCGCTTGGTATAGCTGTTTCCAGACCCCCGCTGCTATGAGTTCCTGGGCGTGAGCCCCATGTATATACAGTCAGGTCCTTTTCCTCGCCCCAAGCCGCCTATTTGCGCAGGGCATTCGAGCCTTTTGTGGCTCTCCTCGGTGTCTCAACCGGGATGGGTGTCCCCTAGGCTGAGTGCCTAGGCTACCCTTCCTGCTATCCTTCCCCCATCCTCTCAGTTTCCTCCAAGTCCTCTAATCCCCATTCATCATCTCGTCGAGCTCGCTCTGCCAAAGCCAGGTGATGGTCTTGAGGCAGGGCTGCCTTCGTCATGGCCAAAAATTGTAAGATGGCCTCTGTTGCCTTCGGTTCCCCAAGAAGCCTGCCTTCTGGGCACTCTTCGGCTGCTGACGGTCTGGTGACCCCAGCTCGATCCAGCGCGCGGTACAGCTTGATTCGCTGGTGCTGCCACGCTCGACATTCAAAGAGAACGTGATGCACGGTCTCTTTCGGTGCATCGCCTTTCTCACACGCAGGGCTTTCCCGTGCGTGAATCTGGTGGAGGTGAGCTCCGATAGCCGCATGGCCGCTCTTTAACTGGAAGAAGCGGGTGGCCAGCGGTTTCAGGGCTCGCGATGCGACTGGGTCCAGTGTCCAGCCTCGATACGGTCGATAGGTTCGCTGTTTATAGCGAGAACGCTTTGCTAAATCTCGGGCGAGCCAGACTTGTTTGCGGTTTTGGATGTTCTCCGTGCACGTCCGGTTGACAAACGCCAGTGAGAGTCCTGTGATTCCTTCTGGATGGCACCCCGGTCGACTAGCCGCGAGCTTTGCCGCTTCATCAGCTTTCTCATTTCCCTCGATTCCGGCATGGCCGGGCACCCATTGAATGATGGTTTCTCGGCCTCGCTCCTGTAGAGCTCTGGCTGCTGCGTGAGCTCGAAGCGTCAGTTCCTGACCGGGGCCTGCTTGCGTGTGTCGCAGCCTCGCAATCGCGGCTTGGGAATCCAGCAGAACTGTGATTGGACCACTGTCATCCACTTTCAGTGCGGCCTGGAGGGCCTGCACGACTCCCACAAGCTCCGCATCAAAGACTTCTCGTCCCGTTCCAAGGGGAAAGCTCCGGGTCCTCCACTCTCCGCAAGGCTCTTGCCAGGCAATCCCTGCTCCTGTCCGGCCGTTCTCGAGCCTCGACCCATCTGACCAAATCGCGCTGCCTGGTTGCACCGTCCGCGCTGCGGTGAGAGAGTCCTCAGTCCTTTGGACAATGATCCTCCCTAGAAATCCGCTGCCATTACCACGCCGAGCGCTCTCGAAGCCCGCAGATGGATCGGCTGGGAGGATGTTTGCTAGTTGTCGCGCTAGGTGCTGTCCTAACGACCATGGTCCCCGGCCGTGCGGTTCGGCCCAGAGTCGATTTCCAGGGGTGTGCTCCCCAGGTTGCGCATGTTGGTCGCCCTCCCGAAAACTAACCGGGAGGATTGATCTGGCTGGACTATCGTCCGGTAGGCTAAGCAGCCGAGCCGTGTACCGCAGCTGACGGCCCTCAAGGAGGACCTCGGCCGGCGTTAGACCCGCTTCCCTATTCAAGAGACCCACGGGTGTGGTCTTAAGCATTCCTGTGATCGCACGGGCTTGTCTGTTGATCATCCGCTGCATTCCCGTGATACAGTCCTTTTGGCCGCGCCACCAGAGTTCTGCTCCGTACAGGGCTACCGACTGTACCGCAGCCACCTGGATCCGATGGACCAGGCCTGGCGCTAGGCCTTGTACGCGACATAAGGATTGAACCCGAGATTCTGCATTCCGGGTCTTGCGAAGGCGTGTCTGATAGTGCATCTTTAGTGTGAGGCCGGCGTCTAGCCAGATCCCCAGCCACCGGGTGGCCTCGTGGTTAAATGAGACTGAATGGCCTCCTACCATGATGCGGGCCCGCTGAATTTGATTCCGTAGCTCCTGTCCACGCTTGCGGGTGAACAAGACCGCCTCGGTCTTCTTCGCCTCGAACTGCACGAGGTTGCTCTCACCCCATTCGATTGCAACCTGGGCAGCTTCCTGTAGTTTCTGACATGCTTCCTGGACCGAGTACCCTGGCGCTAGAAAGCCCATATCGTCTGCGAACGACAGCAGCCGTACCCCCGGGATGGCCCTTTCAATTGCGTCGAAGATCCCGCTTAGGTAGATAAGGAACAAAATTGGGGACACCGGGGAACCTTGAGGCACGCCTGAGTCGATCCTGTGGGCTGGACATTGTATATTGTCGATGACGAGCTGGACCAGTCGACCGCTCAGGAACGACTGTACCCATCGGATCAAGTCACCGTCGAAGCCTAGCTCTTGCATGCGAATCACGAGTTTTCTATCGTTGACATGGTCGAACGCGCCCGCCACATCCATGAAAAGAGCCGCCATGAGCTGCTTTTGTTTCCACGCATCGTGAGTGCTCTGGATCAAGCATGCCACGGCATCCACTGCGCTACGTTGTTTGCGGCCACCCATCTGTCCGGGGTGAAGGCTTCCTGTCGTCTCACAGTGATCTGCAATAGCCTCTGCCGCGATCTTTTCCACCACCTTCCCTAGGCAGTTTAGCAGGCTGATGACCCGATATGCCCTGACGAGCGTATGGTCCGGCTTATCGAGTTTTCTCAGTAAGATTCCCTTAGCGGTCTTCCATGCTTGTGGGTGAATGCCTAGCCGGAAGCACTGCCGGGCTAGCGCTACGATCCGTGAGCTATCCCATTCCCACACGAGTCGAAGGGCTCGAAAATTCAGCCTGTCGATGCCGGGCGCCTTTTGAACCGCCTGATGGAACAGGGCTCTCTTGACCGTTGCTTCGTCTATGCACTTGTGGAAAGATCCTGGGAGAACTTCAACAGCCTCCCTGTCGCCCGGCGCTGGTGGAAAGGCGGTTTCTCGGACCAGTGCCTCTTTCTCGCTGATAGACACGGCTATCTCTCCTTGCGGCCCTTTGAGGGTGGGGGTGATGGCTGTTGCTTTGGGCTTGGTGAGCCTAAGCGCTTGCCAGCATCGGGCCGTTTCCACACACGGGTGGTCTGGGGTGTCCGTCGGCCCTGCCAGGAAGGTTTCCCAGCACGTTCGTTTCGCCCTTCGAATAGTCCTGTAGTAATCGTTCCTTGTTTCTCGAAGGTCGATCGTGGTGATGTGCTGCCCCTGCCACGCTCTTCTCGCCTGGCAGTAGGCCTCGCGCGCCTCTTTGACTTCTCGATTCCACCAGCGTTTGGACCGTGGGGTCACTCGCACTGGCTTCGCATACTGGTTGAGCACTGCCGTAAGCGTTTCCTGCACCCATACTGCCTCTCCCTCGACCTCCTCCGCCGTACTTGCGTCGTCTAGGAGCCCTCTCTGTTCGGCTTCTGCTTGCCACATCTGTTTCGCTTGCTCCAGAGCTTGGCTGTCTGCCTGGAGAGCCTGGATCTGCCACCCCGTCACTTCGTCCGATGGGGGTTCCCATCCGTGCTCTATTGGGGCCCATTCCATCACCAGCAGCTCGTGATCTGACCCGGTTGTGTGGTCCTCATCCACCGTCCACACCTGCAAGGGCCCCATGTCCACTGTCGTCAAGCTCAGGTCGATAATTGAGATCCCCGGCGTTGTCTTCGGCCGTGTCGGGATCCCTAGCGTGTTGTTGATATAGAGACTTTCGCTCTCGATCAGATCCTCCAGTGGTCTCGCATTCGTGCGACTATTCGCTTGCGGGTTCCATAGCGGGCTATGTGCGTTGAAGTCTCCGAGAAGTAAACATCTACCCTCCAGAACATTGTCCCAGTACACATCCTCTATCGCTCTCCTGCGTTCCTCGATGTCCCCCTGCCAGCATAGACCCGGACCAAGCCAGTTATCATAGCAGTTAATCACGCGGGTTCTTCGCTTCTTTTCCTTCGCTCGGCCCAGCTCCCAGACGTCCACAGCCATGATATATGGGTGATCTATGAGATCTGTACGGGCTTCCACTACCACCTGGTTGAATAAGTCGCGCCGGATTGCCACGGCTACCCGGCGATTTCCCTGTGCTCCCGCCTCGGGCCAGTAGATCTGGTATCCGCCGTGTCGGAATTCATTGCCTATATAAGGTTCTTGAAGGCATACTAGGCCCACCCCTAGCTCTAGCCCAGCCTCGAGTGCCGCAATCGTAATTGCATAGGTCTTGCGGCAGTTGTGTTGTAGGATGCGCATTATTGATCAGATTGGTCATCCACCGTCGCGTTAGTCCCTTCCGAGGCGTCGTCACTGAGGTCCATCGCTTCCTCTGCTCTTGGCTGTCGGTCTGCGGGGGATTGCCGATTCGTCGGGGCTAAACCCTCCGAGGCTACGCTGCTACGCACTCCCGCGGTAGGCCTTTGCAAATCGATCGTGGGTGATCCCGGGCGATTCGGGGCCGACGGCACCGAGTCGCTTCGATAGGCTTCCCTGCTATCCCGTTGCTGCTTTCGAGCCGCACGCCTAGCTGGGCAATTTCCAGCGGTGGCGGAATGTGGCCCTCCACAGTTACCACATTTCGCGGGCGTGTGTTGGCAGGCGGTGCCTGCCTTAGCCGAGCATTCTACTACGCGACAAGTGTGCTCGTGTCCCTCATGTGGGCCCGCACAGATAAAGCAACATGGCGGATTGCTCCCACAGGCTTTGAAGCTGCGATGGCCAAGGCGGCAGCATCGAGGGCAGACCGTATCTACCCCCACTTCCCAGTAGTGTTCTGTCTTATACCGGTTTCCTCCAAACCGAATCCCATGGATCAGAAGCTCCCGGGCCTCCTCGAGGGACCCTACAGTGACGACGATAGTAGACCATTTCCTGCTGCCATCCTGCATATCCCTGTGTCGCCGAAGCCACGTAGGGTCTCTCTTCAGTCGGATCCGGCTTCCTAGTTCGATTTCCTCCCTGGCAAGGCCTAGTCCACAGCTTAGGTAGCGACGAGTCGGAACTCCGTGCACCTTGACTCGGTACCACTGCTCCGGTAGCTCGGCCGAAATGATTGCCGGATCTGCCTGTCGTGCTGCTGCAACCACCAAGTCCCAGTAGGCAGGTACTAGCATAGACCCTAGAGCTTCTTTCTCCAAGAGCACGGTGACCGCACCAGTGCTACTATATCCCGCATCAATTACCCGGACGAAGCCTGGGAATTCGGCTTGGGCAAGTCCGCGGTTGACCGCAAGGATGATGTCCTCTTTGTCCACACGGGGGCCGTTTGGCTCTGCTCGCGTCGAAAGACAATTCGTCTGGCTTCTTTCGGGGCGTTTTTCGCCGGCGTAAGCGCACTAGGTTGGGCTTTCTTGCTTGGGTCGGTTCTTTTTGACTGTTTTCTCTTGTGTACAACTTCTTGCCAACCGTGCCCTCCAGGCTTGGTGGCCAGCAGTGCGGCGATGTCCGCGAAGCTCGATGACGGTTGGTTGTGACGAGATACGGGCTTAGGTCCTGGTACGTAGTCTTGAGCGCGGGCTCGGAGATGGTCTTGATCGTGAGTGCGGAGTGTTTTTGGCACCGTTGGCCCACGCTCAGTGGACTGTGGCACTGCGGTTTGCTCTGGCGTCGCCTTTCGAACTTGTTCTAGTTCAGCCCGAAGCTGGGTGACTTCGCTTTCCAGTGTGGCGATGCGTTCTTTGAGCAGGTCTTCCTGAGCCTGCTGTTCAGCCTTCCAGCTCTCTAGGTCTTCGGCCAACTGTGTCTGTATCTGTTCCAGCCGGTCCTGGTACACCCTTTGCACTTGCGCTAGGAGGCCTGCGAGTGCTTTACCCGTGTCCTCAACATCTGTATCCAAAGTGGCTCGCCCCAGCACCCGGGACGCCTTCCGCTTGACATTTCGAGCCTCGAGGGCCCTATGAGGAGTCGTTTCACGTGCAGGTTCGGTCAGCGACTGCCCCAGTTCAATCAAAGGCGCTGGGACTGTATCAGAAAGCCAGCGATTTGGCGTTGGAGTTTCGAGCCCACCGCACAGTGATGAGCTGCGGTCGGGAAGATCAAGGAACGACGCGTTCATTCCACCACCACCACGTGGTTCTAGGACCTCCATGGTGGTTTAAAGTGGCCGTAAGGCCTCTCTCGATTGGTTGACGCGTAAAAATTACGTGTTTTCGATAGGTGCTGATTTTTGGTTTTCTCGCTCCTTATTTTGGGTTTTTTTTTTCACACTGTGGTAGCTGGACAGTTAGTTGGCATGTTGAAGTTAGGATGAGTTTTTCCATGCTTGTAGCCTACCGATGCTCGAGTATTTCTGTTTTGTCATGCAGAATAAACCATGTTCAGTACTACTAATTCTACTTGAAAAGCGTAGGCAAGACGTACAGTCGGACCCCTATGCAGGTCGTCCAAAGTGGTCATGTCCATTATAAAGCTCATTTCCTCACAGAAATCGTGAGATAGAGCCTTAGTCTGCGAGATTGTGGAGCTCCGATATTCGGCTGTGATCTCTCAACAGGCTTTTCAATCTGAATTCAGTACCGGTTAAGAACGTGTCACAGGGTGATAGAATAGAGGCAGAGGGAATATATGTCCGCTGGATTTGTTAAAACCAGAGTTAATCCATTTGAAAATTCGACGGGTTCAGATCTTCCAGAATGAGGCATCTAAAGTCGGCAATTTCTAGATGTCTATCGCCAATCTGCGGTGCGAACTCGAACGGACAGCGCAATATCCACTGATTCAACTGGAACGAGGTGACCGTAGAGGTCCGGCATGCCCCATTACATGCTCAGAGCCACGCGGAGAATAGCTCCAATGTGGACCAGAGGATAGGATGTAGAACTTCAAAATTGCGTTATAGCCGTCTTCTTGCTTTTTAATTCTCCTGCTGATCGATGCTACATAGCAGAATATAGAATTGGGCTGTTGGGTGAGACCACTAAGATATGGCCAACTCGGCAATGCAGCAAATTTCTTTGCCAAGGGTGCCTTTGGCGGTCAGAGAAGCTCACGAAGACGTGCGGCGCAGGTCATTAATGTATTTGCGCAGATTTGGGTGTTCGGTACCGATGTGCACCACTCTAAAATGCAGGACTCTCGCAAGGCTCCCCCATATCGCCTATCCACTTCGCATTTTTCAACTGCGACCTAGTCGACCAGGCCGTCGACCCCCACCGTGGAGCATTAGCCTTCTTCGACGATTAATTCCGCTGACGGGTGGGTAGATACCTCGGGAAAACTCAGTCCGAGGATATTCCACAGGTCCAAGCATGGGCTCGGAAAACGGGGTCCAGCTTCGTAGCGGAGAGAACCGAACCCATCTATATCACCAGGAAGAGCCGCGAACAATGCCAAGGCCAGATCGCCATGATTGATATAACCATCAGACCTTCGACAGCCACCAAGCTCTTGGATGTGATCTTCGACCACGAGCTACGATGGGAAGAGTGATTATTTCGATGCTTTACTATAAACTAGGCCGCAAAGTGAGACATGTAAATCAATGTATCTCTATCTACACTCCCCGTCATGATCCTACAATTTGCTAGTAGATTCCAAATGCTATCCTTATCATAGTTATATCGTAAATATACATAGCTGTTGGGATAGGAAGTGGTGATACATCGCACTTACCGTGGGTTTTGGTCACCCGCTCGACCGTGGATTACGCTAACTAAACAACTAATCAACATAGTTGGCTAGTTGGTTATGTGCCTCGGATAAACCATTCCTAGGCCCTGAATTTGCGTGAGCAGCCTTCTTTGGTGGAATCGCGCTATATCAATTTGCAGGAGGATAGACTCAAACAACAGCATCTATGGTTATTTCCATCTAGCTTTCAACATGTCTTTTTTTGGCTTCACCATGATTCTACAAAAATATGGCAATATGCGGTTCTTCTCCAAGTCTGAACCCGCACCGACAAACACATTCCAAGTTCGGCTGAGCGACGCCTTGAAATTCAATCTTTTGATTAATTGGCTCCTCCATTCTGCCACTTCCTTCTGACGGGAGGGTCTTGGTCTTACTATTTGAATCATGAGTTTTTAAACCTATTCTTATGGCTAAAAGGGAACAAGCCGCTCAAGTACTGTATGGAACTATCAGTAGACGACGCAGACTCTCAAACACTCCCGTTGAGCCTCTACGTACCGGTTCAAGATCTCCTAATCTAAATTAGGTTGCGGATGAATCAACGTATTACTTTCTGCTAATCCGCTCGCTATGTTATGAAGAATGGCCTGACGAATCTTTTAGGGTCAGTTCAGAGGCCATATATTAGTTCCTCAATCTCCCCACCTTGATCCACCGCCGAAGTCGGCGCAATCGGCCCATTACACCAAAAGTCAAGCTTCGGCTCTGGTGACTAAACGAAGATCTTCTTTTGATACTCTCGTGACTACCTGAGCTGCAGATCATGCATATAACCGATATTTGGGGGGTGGGCAAACAGACTTCCAGGATCGAGGTTTGTGGTCCTGGACTTGTGACCACGATACATGGAACATTGTTGATTGAGCAGCCCATAGAAATTTCACCGGCCTTGTACTGCGCCCTGGAATCGGTTTTTCGTTGTTGATCATTGTCCGCAAGGTCCCGCGCACGAATTATATACGGGAACCAGACTTGTGACTGGCGTTGTTCTTTTGTCAATTTAAGTCCGCTGTAGATCAAAGGTCCGTGGCTAAATTTAGAAACGATCAGTTCTGGAAGATTATTATTAGATCGGAAAACTTAGGGCTTATGCAGGAGGACCATTTTAGAGAAAAAAACATAGAACAATCTTAATCTTGAAAATTAATTCGCCTTACTGTGCGGTACTTGTTACAGTACGGTTATATGTGACGATGTCTAAGTTAGGCTATCAGCATTGGTTCCGAACATTGTTTGAAGTCAAAGGGTATTCGGCCGTCGTTGGAACCATTAGTGCATGAATGCATCAGTTAGACCTCACCACATCAGGGGTTCGACGTAGACCTTTTCTGGCCCTACCCTCCCGGTGAGATGAAACAAAATGACTGAAGTCTATACCACACTGCCCAAGAGAGTTCACACTAGTCGTTGAGAGCACTGTGTATATATGGCGCAGCCCAAGTCTCGTGGGCCTATTGACAACTTTTGTCTCTTTCTGAGCTCTTATCATCAATACTCGTAAGGAACTCCAGACTCGGAAAGCGACCGGGCAGTGTTGAGCGGGGAAGTGGTAACCATCTTGATCTTCACACCACTCCTCTTGGGAAGCGAGATCTGTCGGGAGACAGGCCGACCAATACTGGGAGAGGGGATCATCAGTTTGCCGACACTTAGACTTGGCGCAGAATTGCTCAATGGCACCGAAGCCTTGAAATAAATCCCAGGAAAGCAGTTGCGATTGCCTAGGGCCTCGTTCAGGCCTTAGAAAGATTCTTCTACTCTCGGGATTATCAAAAATAAAACGTGTAAGCTGGATACAGATCTTCACCAAGTCTTCAATGTCATCGCTATTGTCGCAGATATCATCTGGCGTCGGCTGCGATTTCACATAATTCGTAATGTATCGGATTTCGCCCCGTGATGGAAAGGAAGCTCGGCGTTGCTCTGGAAGTGCTGCAAGGCCAAAAAACCTTGCGAGCATCAACCAAAACTGTTCTTCACTAATGAATCTTGACGTAGGGGAAGTAGATGAGACTTGGTTATACCTCCCTTTGAAATTCCACATTGTCTTGTGCATCGGCACCGTGGGTAGTTTGTGCAAGAAGCTGCCGAATCCGCTCACGTTGCTCTGGATCGACGCTTTGAGGCGGTGACGATAACTTCTCGATGTTATATTTTGGTACCAGGTCGAAGTACATTTTTTCCTACCTTGGGCCTGATGCTTGTTTTCAAGAAGCAACGTCAACCCCGGATCGCTCTCGGGCTCATAGTCTTCTAAACAATCTTCATCGCACTGGTAGAGTTGCGGGCCCAGATCATGGAGAGTGACAATGTCAGACGATGGACCATGCATCCATTTCATCGAAGGTTGTTCCCTTTGGAGCCGGGGCAGCCCGGGAGTTTGTAGCTCTGGTTGAAACAAGAACGATGCCGACCCTACGAGTTCGTTTTCCCATCGATGCCGTAGATGAAGTGGATCGTTCCTTTGGTGGCTGTAAGAGCTGGAGGATGTGGCCTGACTGGAGGCCTCTTGTACATAATTTGATCTATACGACAGCGCATCAGTATCATTCAAATGGATATCTGGCATTGATAGGTCTACTGATCAAGGCCAGCCGATAGATAATAGTTACTGTGCATGCTGATCAAAGCGTTTCAGCTTAAGACGATGGTCTTGAACTCTCCAATATCTAAATATCTAAATATGGTGCCAACCATCCAAATATTGCAATTTCTTATTTTGAATATCAGTGCTACCCTCTGCTCGCGGAAGTTCATCATGATCTATGATGACACAATGGTACCACCGCCAGTATTATCGGTTCTTTGTAAGCTGGATGATTGCTACTTCGAGGCAGTCTCACGGCCGGAAAATCCAAGCAGCAAATTCCTGATTCCAGATTTGATGACTGTATTAAAGTTTCGGAGGTTACACTGTTGTTATAGGCTGATAGCACAAACTCACTGGGTTTGGACCCTTGTCGTGGAAATTTGTTCCGGAGATAAGAACCCTAAAGAACATTAGTGGCTCATCAGAGGAAACGGATTTCAAAAAGGCATGGCTGGCAAGGGTCTCCAACTAGGCGTCGGATTCGGTGGCGAGGCCCACCCAGACGATGAAAGACACCGGAAAACACGTCACTGAAAGCGTAGGGATAGATCCAATGGTCAAGTATCTGGAGCTTAGACAAAATTTGGATTGTCCTGGCTTTCAGAACGGGTATTTACACAGAATCATGGTGGGCTTATTGGGCCGGCTGAAGGGACTCAGATAAAACGCCCAGTCCTAACGAGTCGACACATCTCCATTCTCCAAAGTTTCTCGATCGCTGAGGATTTCATTCATGTAGGAATCAAATGTGCATCACATGCGTGCGATGCCATTACCAGGAACAGCCTTCTAACAAATCCAGGATACGTGTTTCCAAGTGCTAACACACTGCCTCAGTGATGTCAACACCAAGATTCCGTTTGCCTCTTATAACGTACGTGCCGTGGCGCTTGGAATTACGGTCTACACCCACGGGATGGAGCTGCTTTCCTCATAGTGAGATAAATCACTACTTCAATTGCTTTGTATCTTCTTAATCGATCCCTTAAACGTATTGCCTTGATCGGAGCAGTTCAATCAGTTAACATTCGGTATGGGACATCGACATCAAAATGCAAAACGTCTCAGCTCCAAATCCCATCCGCTAGAATGGAAGATGTACCTGATACAGTAGACGACTTGGAATTTTGACAGGGAATTGGGAGGTCGGTGTACAAATTTTCAAAAAATTGTGTGTGGTCTTTCAAATTTTTAACATAGGTATAGATCCTTTCAGATGAGACGTACCCATTCAATAGGTTGTATTGGCGGGCTGTCGGAATCCATGGACTCTCATCGAAACCAAAGCAGGTTTTATGATAGAAACATCATCCCGAAATAAGGACGGGCCATTATGTTACAGTTTTAGGATCAAGGGGTTCACGGCCCAGAGATGCTCCATCGGAGGTAAGGCATGCGGGACCAATGGAGACCGCCTAGTCCTGCTCCAGTTATATATAAATAAATACACCGATCCCATCACTAAGATTAGGGTCTCAACAACTCAACAGAATCCTCATCAGACCTCTTTCATTTTCCACATGGCCTCAGCCGAGCGAGTGTCCCCTGAAATGGGATGGACAGTCCCTGCCGTGTTTAGCCTTACAGTTTTCTTTCTCTATTTTATTCATGTCCTTTACCAGGCTTCTCGATCAGAAATAGTGATCCATTACTCAACGAGCTTAGAGTCAAAAAGAACAATGCATCAATAACGTCGAATGTTACGAACAACTGTCACGAAGAATGTCATGCTGTATTGCGACACTGGTATTACGGACGTACGTGAATTTACGCATCCAAATTTGGCTTTACTTGACCCACCAACGGGCCCATCGCCGTCAAAAGAAGTCAAATTATCGAGCTGTGACACGGCGAACTGGAATCGTGAACTTGCCACTCATGCTTTATATGTACCTCGTGCTTCTTTTACTCTATTTCAAAACAAAATTTTCATATAGTGTAATTCATAACAATTCCGTAAGTCTACGCCCACCACGTTTGCGATGATACAACAATTTATTTCACGAGTAGAACAGTTGAGTGTAACCGCACGGTACAAAACTTGACCGTTCGAGATACCTTGATCCATCGAATCCAAAAGTCAGACGAGAAGTTCAACCCAGATTCTGGTCGTCACTTTTGTGCAACACAAATGTAGCCTCACTGAGACAAGTGGGTTGAACTGAGTGGTTCTTAAGATCATATTTCCTAGCCGTGATCAGTGGCATGATCACGGGGATATATTGGAATAATGAGGCCTTTGTGCACGATATTTGATGAAATGTCCTAGCTTTATTGGACACAGATTTGATGCCGCTACCATCAAAGCACGAGAGAGTGAAAGCAGGACGGTAGTGTGGCATAAGGAGAGATTGCGCGTTGGTAACTGGGAGGAAACCCGATATGTTTGCCGCACAGGTCATAAAAATCCTAGGTGTTGCCCCTCTACGCCTTTATGCAGTAGCTGTAGCCACACCAAAGATTGGTACAGGCTTCATCCAGCCCCGGGTTCCAGTCTCGAAGCTGTACTGCGGAGATTCCATATTCGGTCTCGAGCTTCTCGCAGTAATCTCCGGTACTCACCGTAGCATAACTCAGGCAACTCGAGAGAGCGTACGGGTATACCATTGTTGGTATAGCGGAGGCTTCGGCTGTGAGGGAAGGAGTAGTGGACTGTTGTATTAGTGGAACCGAAACTGGCAAGCTCAGAGAGGTGGCAAACGTGCTGCTAGCGATCGAGACTGAGCCTGCAACTGGGGATGTGCCCTGGGAGGAGCTGCCAGTCAAACTACCGACTGTCGCTTCGTTACATCGACTTGGCCCAGACGACCATCCCAACAGACGATTAGCAACATCCGAAACGTAGCAATGTGTTGAGCCTCCTTGACCCAGGTTCCCTGATGGGGCAATCGATCCAGAGTTGTAACAGCGGGCGGCCCGGTAATATGCGGTCTCACCGCTCCCGCCATTTGCGTCCAGGCACTGCCTCAGACCATCTCCGGAAGTTGTTCCCTCCGTTCCATCTTTTATCATTTGTAGAATTTCACTTTCGGGGCAGGCAGAGTCCTTCTGGCTACCACAGGAACCTGTTCCCGCATGACTTTGCATGAGACCCGGGTTAGTGACGCCATTATTGGTAGTACCGACACGAACACATCCATTGCTTTCTTGGAGGACTATGGCGAGAATAAAGCGGGCATCAACCCCGCTTGTTTTGGCTACGGACTGAATACTGGACGAAAGATAAGCAAGCTCTGCCTCTGAGTCATTCTCTGCGTCGAATTGCGTACAGCTTGCACTCATGATAGGTTTATTCTTGTTGAACCTAGTTACATCAAATCAGGTCCTTTGGTCCCATGGTCGATTAGTGCATCACACTTATAGTTTGACTCACATTTCTTCAAATGTTGGAATCCACTGGTCCATTGACGGCCATCCGTCTGCGGTCTTCCCATTACCCCCAAAGACCGCAATATACGTCTCAGTACCTCGACTAGTAAGCCTCGGTACGGTAGTCGGAATTCCGGGCGCATTGCCGATGTAACCAGCGTTTGAAATCCCGACCAAGATAATCAAGCAGGCGGCGTGTAGGACCTGTGTTTTGATCAGCATGTTGTTTCTCTCATGAATCAGGGGAAGCTGGGATTTCAAACTACGGAGACAGCAATCATTCTTCAATCGCTTAATGAGCCATAAGGTGGAGTAAACTCAATCATATGGGTTAGAGTACGTTATGTACCACGCAAGTGAGTAAAAAAAGGGCATGAAAAAGGGTGACGCCGGGCCCCTAGAATGGGTCGTGAAAGAAATGGCTGCAAGCAAACCTGGATCGGGCATGCTTTACCAAAGAGAAACAGACTAAAAAATGGGACTCAACGAGTTCCACTATCGCTAATTAAGTCATTTATCTCGGATATTGTCCAAAGCTCCATAACACAAGTGATAGTCAGCTCACAGCGGCGCTTCATAAGTGGGATCGGAAATGATGCTGGAAAATGGCTAATTCTTACAATCAGAAGAAATACATATTTTAGAGTAGGAACGTGGAACGAATCCTGAACAAATAAACGCAGGAATCGCCAGGCAGTAAAAATTCTGATCTTTGAATTTATTTTTAGCGCTACTAGGCTAGTCTTCGATTTCTGTCAAGCAGAGCATTTCATCTCGGCCAAAAATATTTGTTGACATGCATATATAAGCGTATAAGCTCAAAAGCATCGCTCATGAAGCATTCTTTGCGTGGCGGTTCTCCTGCAACATCATCAGAATTGGATACAATTCCTTTATGCGACCCTTTCAACGTCTGTCCACGCATGAACCCATTTTTGGGCCTGCTAAGCATTGAAAGCAATCGCGCTAAATTAAAGATGATTAAGAAAGTATGTGCAGAGACATATGTCAACACTGATAGCAGCGGATTCCACCATTTGCAATGTTCACACGAATGTTCCCAAAGGAGCCTTGTCTCGACGTCCGTAGGCGGCTTCGTTTTCAATACGAACTAGACTTTCTCAAAACTCCTTTGACACCCTTGGTATCCTGCGAAACGGGTGAAGGTCATCCACACTTCCCTAAAACTATGCTTGCTTTCTACTGTCTCACGTCCAAACAGCTAGATGACCTCGCTACATACTTTCATCAGGTCTCGCCCCCGGATGAGAGAACAAAGTGCTATCCATATTCGATCGAGCCCTGGCTTGGCACAGGCGCTAAACGAGACATAATTATTGAGGAGAAGCGTCGACGGTTTGGCTTATTCATTGGGCTTTCTGGCTTATATACGTAGAGCAAGCTTCTTGTAAAGGGGTTTCTGGTCATCGTTGTGCTCGATTCAGAATGGAACAGTTGTGGAGGTTTAGCAGTCTTAAAGGGACGAAGAGATTTACTACCTTTAGAATTACACGACGTGAAGCAAATAGGCGGCAGAATTGGAGGAAAAGGCTTCACTTAATATGCTATTGAAGAGTATGTTGAGCTGATGACCGCCGCTGAAGAATTTGAAAAAGAGCGAAGACTCATGGAAAGGTGATATTGAGAGGGAAGAGCTGCCGATTAAGCAAAATACTGTATTCCTTCGATAGTTGATCATATTTGCGGGGCGGGTTCTTCGGTTCAGCAGCAAAGATCCATTTATTTCTGTACGGCCAGCAGCGGTCAAAAGTCAGAATTGCGTAGAAATTATTCTTCAGACGGCATTGACTTGCTTCTTGATACAAGAACCAGCAAAAACTATACCTAGTTCCTTGAAGTTCGTCTCCTAGGAAACTAACTGCCCGCCACAGCGTAGTGCAATGTCAAAGAATAGAGCAAGCCCCTGCTCAGTTCTCCTGTCCAATGGCGGATGATTTTTAAAAGACGGCCAAGTGCATAATTGGCCTAAAAAGGCTTTGTAGAGTTGATGGATTCGCGACCGAGTCCAAGCTACGGACAGGGGTTTTTCTCGACGAATTTTCCCCCGACCATGAAGATAAGCCTTTCCGGTCCGCCAAACCTTGTGGCGAAGTTGGCACTGGCAACTCAGCCCAACGCTAGTCACATTACCCATCCGGCACTGAGTGACAGGCTCTGATATCAATTGTTTCGGAAAGGTTAAATGAGTGTGCAAGAAAATCATAAGCCGTGTCCGTATCCCTTCCACTTCAGGCGGTTTGGGGCCACACTTCGAAGGGATCCTTTCTTTTGCCAAGTGATTGGCTGCTTGTTCAAGAGCATATTTTATCTCATTGAAGTTGCATACAGAGATACGCGGATACTCTTCAATGTTTCGTAAAGGCCTTCGAGAGCTGCCCCAAATTCTCATAGTGTCGTTTGTGGGATTCGTAGACAGGGCATTGTAAATTCGCCGCTGCCTTTCGATCAAGGTAGCACCTGTGGTTGGCGGTTCACGGAAATGCGGATCGTCCTCTCGTGACATTTTGGTGTTGATTAAAGTTGAAGCAGACCGGCCTTCAAACAGTTTTAGCTGGGTCACCTGTATTAGTAACTCACAAACCAGAGCCAGATGTAGCAAACTAACCGCTGAAAATTCTGAATCCTCTCGAACGCTTTCTCGCTGAACTTTCTGCTGGCTGTCATGGCCTCCTCTGTGGCATAAAGCTCGAGTATTCGGCGCAGAACACGACTGGTTGTGAGATAACATTAGGCTGTAGAGCGAACGCGATGATCGTGGTGGTTTGAGGATGTGCTGCAGTGGGTATGTTGTCAAGCGGGATGACTGGTGTTTTTGAGACACATTGACGGTAGCGAAAAGAGTGTTGGCATGAATTTATAATCAGTGATATGAATAGAGTGGGCCAAACCAACTCCCTCCTTGGGAGTAATCTTGACTTGATCTGTGCTTTCTCACTCTAGCATCAGAACTTAGATAAGGTACACCGAAAATACGTAAGAGTGGCCTATCTGGTAATTTACAACCACGCCTGGACTAAACGTGTGACGCGGTAGTTGGCCGCATTGGGTCAAGTTTGGTACACGATCACGTCACTTAGTAAGTTAGTCAATCAAAGCCAGGAATAACAATTCTTCGACCATGATAATGATTGGGCTAGATTTGCCCTCAATATCACGGTTACGTTATTTCTCGATAGACGCTTTCCACCCTTCAGCTTTGAGATCTGGGGGCATATCGGCGCCACTTTTCGCAAAATATGACACAGTGCCTTGACGGCCTTGGCCTTCTGCACCAGTCAAATGATCCTAATTTTAGCACACCGTATTAATAATGGTACCCTGAATCGTCATGCTATATTTATATTGTTGGGCCAAGGGCCTCTATTTCCAAGTCGAGGTCAAATCGCCGTATTCTGGTCTGTCGTATTCGAATATCTCGAGACAGAGCGGTAGCTTTACTATCTTGATAGGGCTTATGCTCAGTGTCCCACTGCAGCGTGGTCGGGTGAGAAGAAGTTCAGTCAAAGCAACCAATATAAAGTGCATGTGTGACGACGCGCCATCAACTGTATTAGTTCATTTTCCCTTCGGAGGCAAAATCAGCTTTGAGCAGTGACTAGCAAAATACTTCCATTTTGACTAAGGCTAAATGCTGATGAGTGAGCTGAGCTGGCATCCAAAGCGGCTAGGCGGAGATGTCCTGGTAGTATCGCGTGATTTTTTGCAAGGGGCTAACCATGGTACGTGTTGGGTGACTAAGGGCACCCTCGAATGTCAAATGTTCGCCTCATAGTGTTATGCCCATCCCTAAGATTGACGATGTCCGTAGCCGTCTCCAATTCGCGACCCAAATGACCATACCATTAGAATGCTACTCCATCTGACAAAATGACGCCAGGTTGTAAAAACAGCATTGGATGATGTAGTAATCTGGCCCCAATAGAAAAATAAAAAACGACACCCTCTTCTGAGTCGAACTTGAGATCTTATTCCTCACTAACAAGTTCGGCTTCGTCACTGACCAGCTCGCTACATACATTCCGTGCTCTATCTCAATGCCATCGTCCTTGGCAGCCCTGGAATCTGAATTGACGAAAGCTCCGGTACCGTACTATAAGCTGATCCTAGCCACATTTCCATTTTCGTCGGAACCATAGCAGGCGGGTTGGGTGCAAAGCTAATAAACCAAGTCCAACAGAAGTTAAAGTAACCAGAGTCCATATTCTAAGATCTGCTTGAGTTTCAGCCTTGAACGGTGTCAATCCAGCAATGAGTAGAAAACTATTAAACGATTAGCGATTGCAGTACTCCAGACTTCTGATACTTAATTGCGCTAGCTCACACAGCAAAACATATGGCCGGCCATTTTGGAAATGCTAAAAGCTCATTGATATTCATCGGAGGGAAAATAATTTGAGAGTCAGCCGGATAAGCTGTCGGATAAACCGTTGGATACATGATCAATCTGATCAAACCACACAGCCATCAGCATTCACGGAATTTGTGATCTCGACATTCACCCAGTCTTTATATTCTGTCCATAGTGAGCCAAACGAGAGTGCTGAAATGGATTCTCCATTTTTACAAATAATTGACGTGACAACTCCATAGTGGCATTCCAACGCCCACGCCAGGCAGTGCCGACCGCTACTGCCTTCCATACCTGAAATTTTAGAGATACTATTTAAACCCTTCTCCCATGATACGATATACTCTATATGGATAAGTCGTATTTTAATTTTGTTCTAGGTTTCCACGGGAACAAGGATGAAAGTATGCAACAGTATAATCATGTATTGATATACGTTCAAAAATATCCCTAGCCCATTTCCAAAAATAACCACCCATCCCACCAAGGCGTTGTTCATACAGAGAAATCGTGTACTATGAGATTCTACGAAATTTGAAGAAGGATTTGAAACGAATGACTAGACTGAATTTGAGCACTGCAAATATCCAAGAATTTCGATAATCCTACGTTGTTGAACCAATAACCAGCGGACGATATGTCGCATAACAACAAAGAAATCAGTAGAAAAGATAAGAAAATTGCGCAACAGTCATTGGTATTTCGCTAGCACGCGGACCTGGCCAGCTCGTTGACGATAGGAAGCCAGGGTACCAAGGAAAAGAGGGCTGGGAGTGGATCAAGATGCATCGCCAGACCTGTTTCCACTTTCGAGACACAATGTGGTACGTACGGTACTTACAGTATTGTAGCTAACTAGGAGCGAGCCACAGCCTGATGGCCAATGAAGACCGGCAGCCACCAGGTGCCAGGTGGCAATAACAATAGCAATCACGAGACAAATCTTACTGACACCTTGTCTATCAATTCGATCTGTGATAAGGGTTCGAAAGAGTATCTCCCCGGACCCCAATATGGAAGGCAATAACGGGCGGCCTTGTAGCATCCTTACTGTCGATGGCATTTCCATTTTCATATTCAAACGTCTAGAAATGAAGCCGTTGGTACTTGATACGTTCTTGCTCAACTTGGCATTCTTCTCATCCCGTGATGACTTTCCCAGTTTTTCCGTAGCACAAAAGCTTCCCTTCCAAATTCTTAAAGTTTGACGGCTGTATCGCCTCTGCAATGCAAGATTTCGTATGTATAGGAATTGGAGCGTACCTGTCCGTGCCCCAGAGGCTTTTTAACAATTATGTTGTCTATTTCTTGTGCGAACTGGAATCGCTCATTCGGAATTGTCGAGGTATACTTGATCGTTATCAATCGTATTAAAAAAACATTACGTTATTTTCACTCAATCAACATATTCAAAATTCTCTGTGTATCACTGGCTTTTGTAAATGGTATTTTTCTCCCTTCTCAAGCTCTATCCGACAAAGAACTCGAGACGATGTCACGATGAATTTTAATTGACCACATTTGTCCATGTCAGAGATTACTCTTGTACAACCGTGGCTGCTTAGAAAACTGTCTGAGAGTAAGATTTGTATCCGACCGAATAATGGTGTCCAATGAGATCTCTGTACTCGCGGGCTATCATGCTTGTTCTGTCGGGGGTCGAGGCGTGCTGACTATGGATGGCGCTTGCCTGCCTCCTTACGATCAAACATCGCAAGAGGAGGAACAGGCCCCCTAGCGTGACCAGACCAGCTACAACACTTCCGCTCACGACCTTAAGAGTAGCAGAGCCAGTCTTTTGCGTCATTCCAGATCCCGCATCCACCAGGAAGTTCGCCGTTGCTGTTGGAATACTAGTTTCAGAAAGCCCTGGATTGGTTGGTGTATCATCGTTCAGGCTTTCCGTGGATGACGTATACCTGACTGAAGGATTATCTGCGGTGGTAAGTCTCAAAGCTCAGGAGTGCATCCGCAAGGCTGCGAGAATAGCTTGCTACGAGCTCACCTGTCGGTTGCAAGTCCGATGATATCGGACCACGAGTCCCCTCTAGTGCCAGACTAACAGTAGAATCGATTTTGTCACTAGATTGATAAGGGGAAACGGAAACCCTTGATTCTGCTACATGTGACGCTCTGTTCTCGGAGTTGAGGTGCGTGGCTGACGAAACTGGTTGGACCCTTCCTAAGGCACCCGAAGGAAGTATGATCGGTTTCGTGCCCTGTAATAGCCCTGTCGATGTGGTCGGCTTCCTCCCCGGGCGACTTCCATGCTCCGTTGGCAATGCATACTGAACGCTAGGTATTCCCAACGCCATTGACTGGGATCCAGTTGTTTGTGGACTGAAGGTATTTGGCAGTGGCGATAGAGCCGATGCGACCCTCAATCCGGTCCATGGACCACTCGAAGTTGGATGGAGATTTTCATCTAATGGACTAGATAATACTGCAGTAGTTACGGTAGCAGTAGTTGCGGTAGGTGACTTTTCATTTTTCCAGGTACTGTTTGTAACTGGCGTAGGCTTTAGTGATACAGTACCTTCCAATGATCGTGTCTCACGATTCACATTTGAAGAACGGCCAACAGTAAATATAGGCGCTAAGGGAATTTCATGATGAAAATTAGATTTCGGTTCTGCGTGCCCTGTATTACTTTGGTGAATAGCAGCAGAAGCGATTTTGACGATCTTTGACGGACTTATTGAGTAGGACATGTGCTAGATAACCAAACAAAATTCATGTAAGCCCGGCGCCCGTGCCACCAGGCTTGGTTTTGTATCGGATTTGAAAGCTATCAAATTAGGACTTCCAGTCAAGATGCAGAAACCGCTGAAACTCAGGCCCATCCAAATGCCAAATCAAGTGATGGTATTTATCCACTGTTTAACCACTTGATTTTATTGGTCTTTTTCAGACCACGACGCGGCCAATGGAAATGAATGTCCAATAACTGTACTGCTCTCCTGCCATTTCTTCGAATGATAAAGCCATTTTGGTAGCGTGGGATGCCGCTTAGGATTATCGGTTTCTGGTGGGGCTCTGAGTAAGCTGATTTTCAAACGAGAATAGTACCAACTTGTGACCATTTACTCCCATATTGAGGTGGTTGAATCGGTGGCCATTGGTTTTTTGCACAACCTAGAATGTGAAGGGACATTTTACTGTGTATAAACGAATAGACTCAGCCCTTGTCCCATAAATTGTACTATTATTTTAAATTCAGTATCATAGATTGTCCGAGAGATGTTGTTTGACCTCAGTGTAGTATACGCCGGGCCTTTGGCGTGGTCATCCTCAGGGCCGAGGAGATATTTGTTGACCTCTAGAATACATCAGAGACGTTGTCCGGACTCCGCTCCGCTTCCTCTGATTTCAATACGAAAAGAAATGTCGCCGTCCGCCATCAGAGACATGCCTCAGCTATGGCGCGATGACTTTGCGTGGTGGTCGCCTCGGACCCCGGTGATTGATCTCGCTCAGAGGACCTTCAGGCCTCGTAGACTGAAACTACCCGATTGCAACTATCCTACAAAATATCCCCCTCCGACCTGTTGCACAACTACCCAACATCTACATGAAAGGATTAATAAACATCGCAATTAATAACTTGAAAATTAGGGCTTTTGACCGAAATGGGTATATCGTGTAGTCACAGATCCCTATCCACTTCTACCGTGTGAATATTTCTACCGTGTGAATATTGGTTATCTGCACTCAGAGTGTAAACCCGCCCGGACTGAGGAAGGCCTAAACTCATTATCCTGTGCCCCTTTGGAATTTCAATGCCCCATTTACCTGTCAGATCTAAAGCGGGGGAAAGCCCTCAAGAACTTTGAAACGAGAATTCTCTTAGAGAAAGAAGCAACGAAAATAGGTTTCTTATACTTTATTCGGTCATAGGCAGGTGGAGATGATCTGCAGATAGCAGCTTTGCTACCTCGAGCTAGTGTTGCTCGTATTATTCATGATTCCGTTCACGATCTCCGATCTTGATGATACTTGAACAATTCTTATATGGGAAAACGATTCTTAAAGAGACGAGCAAGCAAGATTTACCTGCGCAAAGTCAAAGGCATCCAGATACCCTATCAACTGGACCACAGCGGCACATACTACTAGTAAGTGAAAGATCGAATGAGAGCCCAATAGGTCAAATTGGCCAGGATATCGACTTTCGGGGAACCTGGTCTTCAGAACCACATATGTTAATGTTGATCTCTCTGTTGTGTATGAAATTCGGAGACTTACTGTATAAAACAGAGTTCCGGATAGAAGAAAGCCTGCTTTTGCCAAAGTATAAGGAAAAGCCTTTCTCATCATCTGCGACATGTCGAACATATTGAGTCCATGGATCAAGGGCGTAACACCGGATAAGCCAGTCGCCACGAACATCAATGCTCGTAAGAGGCGATACTTTGGGCCCTGGAATTTGGGACGCAATGTCATGAAGACGGTTAACATCCCAAAAATTCCAATCTATTGACCGAGTAAACAAGAGACTTAGATTCAATACCAGTCTCAGAAGAGGAAAAACAAAACTGTGCACAGGAGATCAACTAACCATAGACCAGTAGGTATTGCGTGGCAAGGGTTCACACCAGAAAAGCAGGTATATGCCCAAGATTAGGTCACCCACTATGAAGATCACTATACCCAGCTTGTCTAATCGCAGGCAGACATGTTCCAGATGTTGAGAGTGGTTCATCAGAGTGTGGTACGCCGCCCGACAACCATAGGCACATGACGGCCGTCCACATGAAGATGGAGAAAATAATGAAATCGACACCAGTGGCCCCGAGGTATCTACTGGCAAGGTACTGCTGGAGGTACCGCTCACTAAGGAGGAAAGAGATGGCCGGGATAAGGTAGGAATAGATGTTGACTGACTCGTTGTGCATATACAACAAACTCAAGAACTAGGTGAGCGCTGAGCCTGAGATGGGTTGATACCAGTCGAGGACCCCCTCATTAGTTTGAAGCCATTTCGGCATCTTATCGATCGAGAGAAGAGCTGAGTACTCTGCCTCACTGGCAGTAGATGTGGTGCCGCAGCAGCTTTCTTTCTGCTGGGGCGTAACTCTGAGACGGGGACCGGATGCCATTTGGTATCGTGCTTAATGATACTATGATGTGGGGAGGCCAAAGTAAGTCGAAATGCAAAGTTGAAGAATGAGGTGTCCCTCTTGCTTTTTGTCGTCCACTACTGTTCTTTTCTTCGGGTGTCCCTGCCGAGTGCCCGCCCGTTATCTAGCCCCACTTGCAGACATCCGGCACGACACATGTTCCGAGCGCCATGGGCTCTGCTACCTGTTGAGGTGGCTTGGATTATCAGAGCTTTCCTACATTTTACTGCCACAGAACGGCGCTTGTCCTTTTACACGGTAAATCTCTTCTTAGCCAGCCGTATCCTCCAGGCGGTTGAAGTTGTGGTGTCTTTTCATTCGATGAATTGCAGGATCTTTATTACTGTACCTTGAAGTAAGTATTGGCCTCCCATCCTGGGTAGACGAGAATTGTCCAGTATCTAGCGCATTAATCACGTCAATATTTTCTCGACCGAGAGAATCGTGCTGAGCAAGCTTGGTTGCGAAGGCTTTTCTAGTCATCAATGTGCCCCGCATGAGAACTGGGTATTTGCTTGTGACAGCATTGCTTGTGATATACCCGGGTTTTATATTCTACTGCCTCCACTTTTGGTTAAGCACTCCAGGACCCGCCATACTCAATGTTTCAGGGACATCATCAGCCATGCATGCCACCAGACAAGCTGAGCATTTCGTAGGAAAATACTTCGATCAGAATGTAATATCTGCTTTCGCATTAGGACAGCCTGGGACGGAGCCTTGGAAGAAGATAGTAGTTTCTTACACGTGGATAGATGAGTCAATCAACTCCAGAGTCATGTGACCACCTTGCCGTATTCGGTTTTGTGCCACTGAAAAGCAGAATTCTGAATAAATTCGGCTGACACTACAGATATAGTTACGTCTCTACTTGCTCTCTTGCTCCGTCAAATATTTCCTCTTGGTTACACCGTCGTTCGATAAGATATTCTATTTAGAACAAACGAATAGGGCTCAATACCTTGTGTTCCTTCGCTATTGACTTCTGATCTCCTTTCATTTGGATTTGACGCGTAGTCATGTCTGTCTCAAGTTCCACGAAAGGTGATGTAACTACAGGCTGAAATAGAGCCCCCTGTTTTGACCTGAAGGTTGAAAGCGCTAATGCTCTGAAAAATGCGATTGAAGCTATCGATGCTCTGACTGGTATTGGAATGGTCCACCAGTATAACGCGGGTCGAGGGAAGATGATTGAATGGCTGGTTGAATACGAGTGACGAAGAAAAATTGCAGCTGATCCTCGGTGGAGACTGTGTGTTGATCTATGTAAACTCCCCCACTAATGGAAATCAAATGCGCATTCCGGTGGTCGCCTTCTCAGGATGCTCACTAATATACACAAATACCTGCCTTTGGCAATTCAATTACAGAGACCAACCAAACTAAGTCACGTACTCAGGTACCTAATATCTAATGACTCAATCTTTGTATGCGCTACTTCTGATCTTAAACCATGCAGTGTAAGATTGAAGATCGCGACCTGCTTTGCAAATACCAAAATTTCGAGCAGCGATTGGCCAATCGAAGCGTAATGCTTTTTTACCTTCTCCCCAAACTATTCCATAAACCTCTGACTAAGAAATCGGTAACCGCGTAAAGCTTTCATTATGTAGAAGCCAAAGTCAAACGGTCCTCAGGATGAATCTAGACGTGAGGCCTCATGGCCTAGATCGATGAAGTAACGATCGCCCTTTGAGTATTTACTCATCAATATCACGTGCATGGCGCTGCCCTGGTTGGCAGTCTCGTCTGTGTACTTGTCTCGCTTCTTGATCTGTTGGCTTACATTGCGTTCAAATTGATGTTTCCTCGAAAGTGAACGAGGAAAGTGAAACGGCTCTCAATCTTCTTTTCACTACCATCTGTTTCGATGCGCACTTGAGCCTGGTCGATCTCCAAATTAGTCCGTAGATTCGGTGCTCCCAGTCTACTTGAAACCTGCTTTTGCCAACAGGGCAAGGTGAGAGTTCAAATCTGTAATAGCACCGACAGTTGACAAACTCTGATTATTAATTGTCCTCAGAAGATCATTATTGTATCGAATATCCCTCCTACAGCCTCATGGATCCCACAAACAAGCTCTGCTCCGGTGATCATGAGCAGCAGCCACGTTCCAGACCAGTCCACGGCATCCTCAAGACCTTATCTACCGACCGAGGGAACAGTGCCGACAGAGTCAAGAACATGAATAGAAAGCTGCCCTCTCTGCGGCCTCCAGAGCCTCGAAAGAGCCTCATTCTCCCGCCTTCAGTCTCTGTATCATACCAACTGCAGAGCGCCGCAATAAAGCCAAAAGACTCTTCTCGTGTGAACTGCGACTGTCATTTTACCATCCACGGAGAAATTCAGTTGCCGAGAGGTCCATACCGGCTGGAGACATTAGTGATGGATGGAATTGCCCGTCGATTGGAAGGACCAGTCGTTTTGTGGAGTGTTCTTGAAGTCTCGGCTACGAACTCGGTCTGTGTGAATACTCGCTGTGAGAACGGGACTGAACAAACAGAGCACGCTCTACAGATTCCGCTAAAAGATGGTTCGTTCCATTATGACCATGTGTCCTTCCACAGGCCACAAAGCGAGACGGATAGTCACCTTGATCCAGTTGATTTCTTTATTTGCTTTCGCGTACTCTGCTTGTTGTTCAATAACTGCAGGGTTGTATGTGACCTTGGCCGGGAGGGACCGTTCCGACTTGAAGGTGATGGAGACTGCCCACCATCGAGCACGGCTGATGGATTAACTTCTCAGAATCAACTGAACGCGAGAATATTGCCCAACCACCCAGGCGTCGCCCAGCACGTGGACTCTAGGTTATTATCTGCATTCTCACCCAAGAACCTTTCTACCAAGGTCGAGTCGCAGAAAGGTGAACACCCTGTGGGTCTGTCTCAACATGCTTTCGGGTTCATTGATTCCGCACAGCCGTTGCTGAGAATGCCCACCCGTGATGTGGTGGAGGCTCCGAGGGCGACCGGTGGTGAAGAAGACATTGGACACACCTCACAACTACTAAGCCCTCGCCGTGATGGTCCCGTACGGCGAAATGCGGTCAGGAAAAGGCGAGTGTATGGACCCTATCCTCAAGGCTGCCACTTATGTCCCTTTCGGTCTTGCAGACAGTCCTTTAAGAATCCGGACCACCTCAAGAGGTAAGACCAGTTCCGCAAGTGATATCATCAAGAACAATCATCTGACTTACCACCCAGACACTTGCATACCCACGGCTGAACCTAAATATGCCGCTTTTGTACTACCAGGATAGTGTCATTGTCGGGCTAATGGTCATGCCTTTGACAGGGGCCCACCTCATTTTAGCTGAGTCTTGACTTTTCATTCAATACTACCAACAAACTGAACTCCATTGAGGCCGTATTGAAACGCGGCATCCTCAAAGTAGCATGTTCTGATCGAATTGCAATCCACGAAGATAGCACGACGATCTGTGGAGTAATTTTTGTATTTTTTGACCCAGAGATATATTGTTTATCACATTGAGGCGAGGCGCCAGCAGTTGTTTTCAATGAACAGAATAGTTGCTGACATTCTCGTTTACTTTACGCCTGTCTCGCAATAGGGATTTGGTGCGCTACCCTATAGCCAACCCAAGTTCTCAAGCATTTAGACAATTTTAGCTTGGAGTTGCGGGATAGTGACGGCATATTTCACAAATCAAGTATATGCATTGGAATACAACTACCAAGTCTTTTTGGGCCTTTCGCCATATCTACGTTGGTAGACCAGCGAGAGCATCTTGGAACTCCGTTTCCTCTGATTTACTGACAGCAAGAATCAAATTTTTTTCCGAAAATCTTCTCTGCTTGCTGAGAGTAAGTTCCTTCCTCGGAAAGAGCAGGTTTAACAGGTCAGGCTAATATAGAGTTCCAATGACTTATATAGCCACATCCTCCAAGCCAACTGAAACTAAACGCCGTCGAATTCAAGAAGGAGCGAAATTATAAAACTCTGGAACAGATGATGAGAGTCAGACGCGAGACGGTACTCCGCTAGTCGGCAGATAATCTCCGACCCAGCAGTGCGAATTTGATTTTGACTATCCGCCGAACTTTGAAGGCAAAGTAAAAGGCCCACACCTCTAATACCCATGACCGGTCGTTCAGCCTGTCATATTGGGCGACGACTTTTAAGGGTGGGGCGCTGGCATAGGTACAGTACGTGAATATCTAATGTAACATCAGTTGGGTCCAGAAGCGAGCGAGTTCTAACTTATCCAGTGGGTAATGGCCTAAGCCAACAAGCTTTCTCGACCTATCCAAATTTGCTGTCAATTCTCTCCGTTACCGGTGCATCAAGAGCTTTGAATTATTCTCCTAGCAAGGTGTCTCAGCCTGCCGGCAATAAAATGATGTACGCCTGCGGTGTTCCTCCTTCCCCTTTGTCACTTACTTCCAAAAGCGGGCTCGATCGTATCGTCGCTTACTCCGAGAACAATCTTTCAGAAACAACATCTCGCAAGTTGAGATAAATATGGATGTGATTTTCTATTCAATAAGGACAATGCTCTTACCTATTGGCTGTGTAGGTGAGGATCAGGAGGAAGTTGGCATATGCCCCACGGGCAGCTCGTAAAAAGGATCCTCGAATTTTCAAGGACACACGCCAGCTGTTATTTTTTGAGCCACAAGCCAATATAGCGTGACCCACCAGACCCTCAACCACAACGGCATTATTAGCACACCGCAGGGGGCGATATGATCAGTCGCAGTTGGATAATATTTTCGTTAAATTATTAATCATTCAAGGAACGCAAAGCGAGA